TTCTAAAACACCTTCTACGCCGGGTTTTATTAATTCGGGTTAATCATATGACCGCGGTGGCTGGCACGAACTTTATCAACCCTGGTGGATGCATGACTCAGTCAAACTTTCATTTATTGCTTAATTTTATATCTGCTGTCTCCTGTGGGGGTGTGGCAAAGCAGGGTGTTGTGCGATACTTTGTAGTGTGCTTGATACTCGCTCCTTTTAGCCTAAGATGTGGTATAGAGGGCATCCTCACCGGCATGGGGATTCTTGCATGTATAATTCTGCAAACAACTAATAAAAAGGCCAGGACCAAACCTGTTGTTTATGGAGTCAAGGACTCATCTAGGCATTTTCAGTGCCTTGCTTTATATATAAGCGACATTAACTTGGGCGTGAGAATATTATTGTATAGTATAGTTCATGGAATGGGTGCCCCCTTTTATCTCCAGCCTATGAATGCGAATGGGTTTGTGTTGTGACAGCGTAACAGAGTTATTATACTATTTGGATGTTAACTAGCTCTTGTTTTGGGGGTTTGGATGAGTCACAGTAATGTTATTGATGGGGAACACTGAGTGTGAGGGACATGGGACAGTCCCCGAGTCATGGTTTTTCTGTATCTAAGAGTCTTCTAAAGCTAAAAGACTATTTATAAAGAACTCTGCTTGTAGCTCAGTGGCATACATGCCTGCCTGGCAAGCACAAGGTCCTGAGTTCGATTCCCAGACCAAAAAAATAAATAAAACCCTAAAGTGTGTAAAGCCTTACTAACTGGTGTGGTACTCAGGAGCCACAGAGCTCGCCCATCAGGGCTGCAGTGTCTGAGCTGTGTAGGGAACTCAAATACGTAATCCACTGGTGAATAGTACACAGACAGAAATCTCAGAAATAATCAGCAAAGTAATCTGAATTGGACTCCACGGCACCAGAGGGAAATTATAGCTGTGAAACTAGCAATGAAAGAGAATTCACATTTACATGGTAAGATTCTATAATTTAATACATTATTTATACCCACTGACATCTAAAGAGCACAAAAATGTGTTTATAGTGAAAACCTCGTATCGAAGAGTTAAACATATTGGGAAAAGGCGAAAAGGGATTTTTCAAAGACTAGGAGTAAATGTTTATGTGGGACACAAGGTCCTACGTTCTGATAAGCTTGAGAAATGCTCCGGTAAAAGGAAACAGTGTTTCCTCTTTTGTGAGCTGAACACAGCCAGTGGCCACTGATAAACACAAATGCAGAGGTGGGGTGCACACAGCGTCCTTTCTGTGCTAGAGAAAATGTTCTGCAATCCTGTGGCTGCATTTGGCTGTGAGCACTGAATGTGGCTCGTCCAATGCACGGCTAAAACTTCTGTAAATTTCTGGAACCTTCTGTGGCTATCGGCTGCCATCTTGGATGGGGCTGACATACAGCATTCCAAGAGACAGACTTCCCAGGACCACGTATTGGGAAGCATTTGCTCAAGGGTTTTGATCTTGGGATGCATGAATCTCGTGAAAAATATCACTGAGGACCTTCAGAAAGGTTTGTGTGAGTTGTATCTATTGACATTTAAAAGAATGGTTTTTATTTTAAGGAGAATAAAACCCAACAATACAAATCAGAATAAAACCAATCAAAAAGGAAGCAGGGAAAGTGGCGCAGAACTTCAAAACAGGCCGACAGCTCATCAACAGTGGCGGCCATAATAGATCCTGCTCTCATCATACTAGCTGTCCAGTCCTCAGTCATAGTAAAATGGAATAAAACAGAACAGAACAGAACCATTCAAAACAGAGCACTGAATAGAACAAAGCAAAAGAGTGAGAATAATACTGGACTTCAAAAGCAAGACAGAAAGAAAGCCCCTGTGTTTGCACACTGTCAGCCTCTTAGTAGATGCTCAGACCGCAAAGTCAAACAACACAAGCAGTGAGTTGTTTTTGTACCTGGTTGCCATCAACTGTATTTATTGGCATTTATGATGTTAGCGATTAACTCTGGGAGAGGTTTAAGAGGCACTTCTTCATGAATTCACCTAAACTCAGTATCCACTGTCTTCCTGCCAGTGACAGCCTTGGTTTGCTTCTGAGAGGGCGCCTTCTCACCCACCCGAGGAAGCCCCGTGTACCTTCCATCGCTTCAGGGACCGGGCTTTATAGAAGTGGAGGTTTTTACTGTGTCCTCTGTTTCCCTGGCAAGACAGGGCAGATCATGGTGACAGCCCGGGCAGCCCTGGTTAAGCCCCGCGCCCTTTAGCCGACGGCATCTGCAGCTGGAGTCATCACCAAACTTGCTCTGGCACCAAGCAAAGCAGGCAGTTAGTGCTGGAGCTGTTACAAAATAATTTCCAGCCTGGGAACCCTGGGTAGGGGTCTGCAGTGGACCCTGCAGGCCACGGCAGGGCAGAGCTGATAGAGTGTGTGGGGGGAGGACCTGGGAGGGGAAACCCCAAGGCCTGAGCCTGAGCTGGGAGGAGCCCTGGGGGCTCAGCTAGGCATCCCTGGGTCCTGGGTCAGGGGCTGGAGGGGGAGACAGGCTGTCTTTGCCAGGGAGCAGGTGCAGCAAACAGAGCGAAGGCAGCAGCATCGCCCCAACCTGAGATCTATGCACAGCTACAAAGAGTGAGTGCAAATTCGCCAGGGTGGGGGCCAGCGCTATTTCCTTACAGGTGAAATAGACTGAAGAAGAAACCAGAGAGAGAGAGAGACAGAGACAGACAGACAACAGACAGAGAGGGGAAGGAGAGAGGCGGAGATCACCATCTGCAGTACTGGCCCACAATGCAGGGCACTGTGACTGCGCACAGCCCAGACCTGTTTCTAATCCTGTTTGAACTCCTGTCCGCTTCCTGACCTCTCCTCTGCCCCCATGCAGGGCAGGACTCATCTCTCTCCCATCTGCATGGCCCTGTTCCTCTGCCCCCATGCAGGGCAGGACTCATCTCTCTCCCATCTGCATGGCCCTGTTCCTCTGCCCCCATGCAGGGCAGGACTCATCTCTCTCCCATCTGCACGGCCCTGTTCCCTCTGCCTGAGCGCCCCTTCCCTTCCATGTGGATCACACAGATCTCCCTGGCCCCTGTCGCCTCGGCTTGGTGGGAAGGACACAGCGTGCGCTGAGGACCAGGGCCGCTCTCTGTGAGGCGGGCAGGAGGATGAGCCCCATCCAGGGCCGGGTCGCTGGGCACCCGCACCTCCTCACTGTGCGCGGGGTCCTCTGGCGCCTGCCGGTGGCTTACAGAAGCTAGACCTTTGAATAGAAGTGGGGGAGGTCACCAGTGATAGGGCCACAGCCCCTCAGTAAGAGAGTCATCTGTGTTTTTCTAACACTTAGCTTGAAAGAATTCCAGAGCGCTCTGCAAACACTAGCTATTCCCTCAGCAAACACTGTGAATCATCTATTCTGGAAGATGGGGCAGGGGCTGTTTCCTACTGCTTCACTCTGGTTCCCACTCCCCGCTCCAGAGCCTACACGCTGCACCTGCTCACAGGGCGTCCTCTCGCCCCCTCCACCCCCACCCCTGCACCTCTCCCTGCAGCCCAGCCGCAGGCAGGGCTGACCCTGTGCTCTCTGCTTCCTGAAGACCTAACAGTTTGGGTTCTGGGAGAGGGAGGGGAGAATGAAGAAGAGCTATGCAGTCATCAGTGCCCTCAGAACGTGGCTTGGGGGTACCCAAGGGAGGAAAGCATTTGTGGAGCACACCAGTGCTCAGTGTGAACTGATTCACACCAGAACTTTAAAACAGGAACTGCACAAGTAATGATGTGCACTGAACGGTACAGCGCTCAATTTCAAGTAACGGCAAGGAAGGTGCTCCTACATTGGAATGATCTGTACTGCTAAGGAAACTGTCTCAAAAGACACAAGTGCTAAATTGGGAATCTGAAAAATGACTTTTATAGGGCTACAGTGTTCTCTATTATCAAGTCAGTCGCTGTGTGAATGATTTATTCCAGGAGGAAATGTGTGTGTGGGAGATCAGAAAACGGAGTGTGAAGGCAGCGCTGTGTTGTAGTTGGGCTGCACGGAAAACAAGACAATACAGGACACATAATTTATAGTATTACTTACGACGGCCACCCAGAGTCAAATACAAAGAAAGTGCAGGAAATCCGTCCACACGCTAAAGACCCAGAGAATCCATCTGAGGGTCTGGTTCTCGCAGCAATAACCTGCATGAGTCCAGCTGAAGACCTCGAGCCCATGACAATGACTCATGCAAGTCTATTTCATGGATCTGCACTGCAAGGGTCAGCGGTGGAAGCCAGAAAGTCTGTGCCAGCAGAATGAAGGATCTGTGCCAGCAGGCTGGAGTTCTGTACTGGAGCCAGGAAGCAATGCTCAAAATAAGGGCCAGGATCCCTCTAAAAATACCACAGCCATCCTCAGCAACAATGAGCCCTGAGCTCCTCTGATGATGAGAACAGCTGAGTTCATATCAGGCGAGCCAGCATGAGGAGCTCCTCCAGGAGAACCAAGGGCTCCAAACACCACTTAGGAGAACCCACAGGCTACTCCTCCTCTCCAGGTCTCCTTCTTATGCTGGCAGCATCCTCAGGTGGGCCACCCATGCTCAGCACCACACCGATGCAGTTCAGCTGATGTTAAACTGACCACCGGTTTTCAGCCCGCCACAGGCTGGTTGACGAGAACGACGGGCTCCTTAGCGATGCCAGGCCAGGCACCTTGTCTCTCATGGTCAGTGTCTGTGAGAAGTGGTCCAGTTTCTGCATCGTAATTAAAGGTATCCTTCAATATTTATTTGCACTCCCAAAGAGCATTAAAGCACGGCAGTTTAATTCAGCCTACTGGAGACTCAGGTGGCTGGGGTTCTGTCCTGGAGCCAGGGAGCAATGCTTGGAGGTACCTCTCCAGGGCCCCCAAGTCTGTCCCGGCGCTGACCGCTCCATCGCTCTGCTTTCCTTGTCACTAGATCCAGCCGCTCTCGCTAGGTCTTTGCATCTTTTTTCTTCCACTCTGGTTTTGTTTTCAATCATGCCTTTCCCTTCTCTCCCAAAAGACTCACAGTGAGACCAACAACAGTGTCCTCGGCCTGCGTCAGGGGACACAGGAGTGCGGAGGGTCGAGACAAGGACACTTCTGCCCTGCTGTGCACATAGCTGAGTGACTACGAGAGAGGGCAGATGCAGCCAGCTTTGCCAGTGGTGCACGCAAGGTCCCCAGGACACGTAGAGGAAGCAGCGAGGACTTCTGCCCATGGCCTTAGGTAAAAGTTTGGGACACTGAAGAAGAGGTGACATCTGAGAGCTGACATCTGGGCTGGGTGCAGGAAGGTGAGTTCCACAGACACAAAAAGGGAGAGGGACGGTTTTGTGTGGAGAAAGGACTTACAGGTGGAAACGCAGGGGGACAGGAAGCAGGTCTCGGGTCCTTCCACAGTGTCACAGTGATGCTATGGCATTCGAGTGGAGGGGGAGATGGAGATGGGAAGAGAAGATGAAGAGGCAAGAGATGCTTCCCAGGGTGAAAGAGTTTGAACTCTGCCAGGCGAGGTGGTGCACACTTGTAATCTCAACACTCTGGGAGGCTGAGGCAGGAGGATCACTAGTCAAGCCCTTCCTGAACAATTTAGTAAGACCGTCTCTCAGGCAACAAACAAACAAACAAATATAAATAGTGCTGGGCGGTGGCTCAGTGCAAAGGCCCCAGATTCGATTCCCAGTCCTATAAAACAAAACCCAAAACAACAAAGGTACTTGAATCCTAACAGCCCTGTGGCCTACACCCATAATCCAGCTACTCAGGAGTCTGAAACAGGATTGTAAATTCGAGGCCAGCTGGAGACTCTGTTCTACAAAGCAAAGCACAAGCTTGCCCTTTAAGGATGTAATAAGTGATTTTGATCCAGCCAGGCTGTCGACCAGGAATGAGTTGGAGGCTCTTGCAGCGACCTGGACCCCCTGCCATGTGGCCAGCAGGAGGAAATCAGGTAATTAGTTCAAAGACACTTTGGGGACACAGAAGGACAGGACTTCATGGCAGCTGGGTAGGGCGCAAAGGAGAGGGAGGAGTCTAAGGGTCCTTCTGGTTTTCAGCTTGGGGACAGGGGAAATGTAATGGGGACTCTAGACGCTCAACTCGGAAAGCATGCGTTCTCGTGGGCTTTCAGGCCTCCCGAGCTCTGGAGCTCAATGGTGTGACGTCTCTGCCCCATCTGCAAGGGTGAGCGTGGCCTCAATTCTAAGTCCCTGGCCACAGGACCTTGTCACACTGTATTAACCACCCCTGCATTTGCTATGCATTTTTCCGATATTTCTTACCCTGGTTGCCAGGCCACGGTGTAAAACCTTTTTCTTTTCCTGCTCAACCTGTGTAGAGAACAAATTACTGCTGCAAAAGGACAAGGGTGATGTGGTCACCTTGGGTGGTGACTGTCCCTTGACTTCCGGGTGGCTGACAGTGCCTCTGGTGACCAACAGGTCCAGGCTAAGGATAACACGGCCAGAGCCAGAAGGACAGAGGCAGACCTGCCTTGGTCTCTGTGTTTCACGTTTGAAGGGACCCGTGCCTCTTTGGCTCCTGCTATGCTTCTTAAAAGGATGCATCTTCAATCCTTTGTGCTCTGCGGTTTTTATGGAAGCGCCTTCGGGCTTCTCCTCTACTCCCGAGCGTGGAGCTCAGAGCTGCTTCTCCAGAGTGCTGGCGACCGCACAGGAAGTGAGATGCCCGCTGTTTGCCCAGTTCCTTTTGCATATTCCAGCCTTTCTTTTTAAAACTGTCCTTGTCTTTGTAGATGGCCAGAGGTGACGATGTCTGATACACAGCAGAGGCAGTGAGTTGGCCAGCTGGTGGGTGTCTTTCCTTCCAGTTCATAGAATAGATGCACCCTGGAGGTGGACCTGTGTCACCGTCTCTGGCAGTGTGTGTCGGGACTGTCATCAGGCTGGGAGAGAGGGTGGGAGGAAGCTCACAGAAGAGGCTCACACTGCTCAGGATTACATTTCGGGAGGTCTTTCAGCTACATGGAGAGAATTCGTGGGTAACTCAGCGGGAGTGCAGCACCGTGCTGCGGATCCCTCACCCGCAGAGATCCGCTAACCCTCGGAAGGGTGGCTGGGCCCTCTGCTGCGGTCTTATTTTAAATTGAGCATTGACAGAATGAGGTGTATTTTTTTTTGTAATTTTTATTTTAAAGAGAATAAAAGCAAACAAAATAAAACAGAATAAAGCCAATCAAAACTAACCAGTGCAAGCGACAGAGGACTTCAAAATGAAATAATGGGAAATCATAATGGCTGCCGTAATGCTTCTTATTGTCTTCAAAATAGCTGCCCATAGCATCAGACATAAAATCAAACAAAACAGAACCAATAAAAATAAAACAATGAATGCAATAAAGGACTTCGAAACAAGGTAATAGTAAATCCCAAATGGCTACCATAATGTATCTTGTTATCTTTGAAATAGCTGCCCGTGCAGTTGGATATAATAAAACCAGACAAGACAAAACAGAATAAAACCCAACGAAACAAAACAATGAAAATGACACAGGACTTCAAAACAAGATGATAGGGAATTACCAATGGCTCCCACCTTCAAAAGGAGTTCCCCCATCTATTTAGAGGATAACAATATACAATGTAGCATCAATTTTTTTAAATGGGCAAAAAAAGATTTCTTTTCAAAATATCCACAAATAGCAAGCAGGCTCACGAAAAGGTTCTCTACTCTGCTGGAGCAACAGAGCAACAGACGATGCTAGTTAAGGAAAACCATCCAGAAAGTCTCGCGGTGGCCTCACCTGTGGCCTGTTTTGCCCCCGAGGTGTCTCCTCGTTCTCAGTTCAGCCAGGCCCGGGCCATGCCACAGCCCTGCAGGTGTGTTCAGCTTCAACGCTCTCCAACAGCTGACCTCTGCAAGGGCCTCCTCCTCTGCCCCCTGTGGCTTTGTTTCCTGTGACACAGTATGGACTTTAAAAAAAAAAATGAGTTTTAAAACGCATTAAAAAAACTTCCTTGTGAGAACAATCAATTTCAGAGCAAAATGCACCCACAACTCTGCCTCCATGAGGTCCACTGACATTTTAGCTCGTCCTGCTATGCTTTCCCCTTGTCCATAGATCCTCAATTTTGCTTATTTTGGGGGTATTATATTCTAGGTTTTATATTTTCATGTAGTGTTATCCCATTTAATGACAACTTTAGCACAACTTTTCTGCCTTCTTCCTCGAGCATTATGAGGCAAGTCCTGCCTAGCTGGTCACATGGTCACATGACCGACTGACATCTACGCCGTACATGTGGGGCCGGGGGTGCAGCTCAGTGGCACAGCGCCTGCCTGGCAAGCACAAGGTCCTGAGTTCAATTCCTGGTACCAAACCAAACCAAACCAAAACTGTGTACGTGGATTTTTGGTTGATATTTGAGATTTTAATCATGAACATTTCTTTAAAACTTGCTTTTAAAACTAGTTTTTTTTTTTTTTTTTTTTTTTTGGACAGGGTCTTCTATGTAGTCCCGGCTGAGTTTGAACTTGCTGTGTAGCTCAGAGTAGCCTCAATCTTGGAGCAATCCTCCTGCCTCCGCCTCCTGAGGTATGTTCCACAATGACTAAGTATTTCTTAACCATATTTTATTATTTTTAGTCAGATTTTATTGGCACACTTTAGATACACATATTCATCATAGAGAATTCATAGCTTTCAGCATATAACTTGATCCTCTTTTCCCCATTCCCCTCCCCCCTCCAACTTCTCTTCCTCTCTCCATTTACACAAGTTTTGTATTTTTCTTTTTACTTCTCCCTTCTTTCCTATCTCCTCCCCTCTCGTGTCCCCTTTCCCATGTGAACATTTTCTTCCTATTTCACAACCTATTATATATTTTTGTCCTTATTTACACTTTCAGTTTGTCCTACCAAAGTAATAATGTGGTATTTATGTGTTCAATTTATTTCACTTGAGTGTGGTCTCATGGTGCATCCGTTTATCTAGAAATGTCTCAAGCTTATCCTTCGTTATGGCAGAGTAGTACTCCAATGTATAAAAATACATCTTCTTTATCCATTTACCAGTTGATGGGTATTTCAGTTGTTTCCAAGATTTAGCCATTGCACACTGTGCCACTGTATACACGGGAGTGCATATATTACTGTGGTATGATACATTTAATTCCTTCAGGAAGATATGAAGCAGGGGAATAGCTGGGTCAAACAGGACTTCAGGTCCTAGGTTTTTGAGGAATCTCCACACTGATTTCCACAGTGGTTGCACCAGTCTGCACTCCCACCAACAGTACAGAAGAGTTTCTTCACTCCCAGACTGCCGGCATTTGTTATTGGTCGATTTCCTGATAGTAGCCATTCCTTCTGGGGTGAGATGGAATCAGTAGTTTTTATTTGCGTCTCTTGAATGGCCAGCGATGTGGAGAGTTCTTTCATGTATTTATGCACCGTCTGCACTCCATCTGAGAAGCGTGTGTGTGCCTCTCAGGTGCCCGTCTTTGGATTGGGTTGTTATTATCATATTTTGAGATAGGGTCTTCCCCGGTAGTCCAGGCTGACCTTGAACTCGCTGTGCAGCCCAGGCGGCCCTCAAACTCTCAATGACCCTCCTGCTGCTGTGTCCCCAGTGTTGGGCCTCTGCCGCAATGCCTGATTCGTGTTTATCGTTTTGACAGCTGTGCAGGTTCCATGATAGAAACGCACTAGAATGACATTCAAATTATTTCCATTTTCCTAACACCAAAAGTGGGGTAAGGATTTTGATCATATTTGTCTCTACTCTTCTGAAGGACTGACGTTTGCCCTGTAGGCGGCAGCGGGACGCTCTGGCTAGCAGTAACATCTGAAGCCCCTGCCCTGGCCCCTCCATCCTTCCCCACGGGCAAAGGCACTGGGCCAAGGGTGATGAGCCCCACCGTGGCCTGCACCCCCGCTGTGAACCCCTTCCACCCCTAACTTGCTGAACCTCCCTCAAAGGCCTGTCTGGTCTTTGCCACAGGTGCATCCCTTTGAGGACACTGTGCTACCATGGCAACCATCCCAGGGCCAGGGTGCTTCAGGTGTAGACAGAACCTGGTCATGCAGACCAGGGATGCTGTATCCATGCAGTTTTCAACGTTCTCAGGGTGAGGACAGTGAGAGGGTGGAGAAAAATGGACCAGAGTTTGAATACAGAACACTGAGGCTGGATGGAGCCCTCTCTCCTGATGGGAAAGAAGAGAGGAAAGGGGGGGGGGAGGGGGGAGGAGGGAGGAGGGAGGAGAGGGAGGGGAAGGGAGGGAGGAGGGAGGGCCCCACAGCTGCAGCTCCTTTATTTATATACTCGGGAAGGTCAGTATCATGTGACCCCTCTGCTGAAGAGCTTATCCCCAGCGTTCCTCTGGGCGCCCTGTGTTCTGGACACTACAGAGCTCCGGCCTGTCACTTGCCTCAGGCGCCCTGTGCTCTTGCTGCTGGCCTCGATTCAGCCTTGCATGTGATCATCTCCAGCTTCAGCCGCTCCCCACTTTGAGTGACACTGAATCTTACAGGAAGATTGGATTCCGTGCACGACCAGAATCATGCATGAAATAAGTTCATGAACCGAGGCACCCCTGCATATAGATAGATGCAGTACCTGCATGTGCACATAATATGCACGTACCTCACGGTTAAGGTTATGAATTCTGGGGTCACCTTGACTCAGCGAACCTCAGCCCTACCACTGCGGAGCTGGGTATGACAGCACTTTGATAGCAGCCAGGTCCCCTAGGACATGCAGCCCCCAGAGAGCCACGCTCCCTGGAAAGCAGCCCCGTGGTTTAAGAAGGGCCAAGCCGCGTCCCAAGCAGCCCTGGACAGGGATGAGCGTGGCCATGCTCAGTTCCGCCCGCTCTGGGCCCGGAGGCAACAGTGGGATGCTGTACACTGGCCCAGAAAGGGCTCTTACCTCTGGGAGCCGCGGTAGGCACCTTTGGCGGTTTTTCTTTCACAATATGGTTTGCCACACTGTGGGAAATTGATTGGTTTTCTCAGTCTAATTTCTAGTGTCAGCTGTGATGTCACAAACCAGCCCCAGCTGGCTCCTGATGGATTTCAGCCCCGGTGCCAAGATGACGCGGCCTGGCAGCCTCTGTGCACGAAGCAGAAGAGCATAAATTAGCAGACAGTGTTCCTCCAGCACAGCATTTACCGATTTTAAATAATAATAAAATCTCAGGCCGAAGAACACAATAAAAATGTGGCATTAGGCATGAAGAAACCACTTCTGAAGAAGAGAAATTCTAAAGGGAATCATCCATTTGCATCCTATATTTTAGTTAAAAATTGAGATTTTTCCCCAGGAAAGGTTGTTGTTTTGAAGCAAACAGAGGCTGTGTTTCAGAAGCAGCACAGAATTCCAGCGGCCTGAGCCTGTGTTTAGTGGGAAGGCCCGCAGGGAATCCGCTGGAAGGATCCGGATTTTCATTGTTGAGGATGCGGTCTGCTCCGCGGGCCGCTGGCTCTTTCTGCCGCTCTCCGCCATCTGCCACGTTTTCTGGCGAGCCTGACAAACACATTTAGGTGGGACCATATGGCTGTAAAACCTGTCACCATGTTGCACTCGGTTCTGCTTTTCCTCCCTTTTAACAGAGATGCACTGGATCGTTCTTTTTTTTCTTTTGTCTTTTTTGAGGCAGGTTTTCACTACATGGTTTAGGCTGGCCTCAAACTCACTATGTAGCCCAGGTGGGTCTTGAACTCATGGCGAGCCTCCTGCCTCAGCCTCCTGATTGCTGGGGTTACAGGTACGCACCACTGTGCCTGGCTCATTACTACTTCTTGAAAAGCTTTATCCTGCTGGGCATGGTGGCTCATATTTGTGACCCCAGTTACTTGGAAAGCTGAGGCAGCAGAACTGTGAGTTTGAGCCTGGTCTGAGCAAGTTAACAAGTTCTTGTCTCAAAAAAGGAGGGGAGCTGGGGGCGCCGCCCATGCCCGAAGCCCAGGGACCTATCCCTGGTACAGTAAAATACATGAAAACCCTTCCTCTTAATCCTGAAACCAAATCTCACACTGACAGTACTCAGCCTTGGGGATATGTCTACTAATAAAATGTGTAAGTAATAAGCATTTTGAAGGAAAGGCTTTTTTTTTTTTGGTACTAGGAATCGAACTCAGGACCTTACACTTGCCAGGTAGGCGCTAATGTTGCGGAGCTATATCCCCGGCCCAATAATGGGCATTTTGAAATGACCAAATTTTTCTCAAATTCTTTGGTAAATGGCTTTGAGCCATTCCTTGCCTTGGCCTCCTGGCATTTGGACTCAGTTCCAGTGCTTCCCCCTGTAGCTGTCCTCCCTGCCCCACTCTGGGGGTCAGGTCCTCAAAACCGCACCCTCCTGAAATCTCAGCTTTAGGTGCCCTGTCCACACAAGGCCTCCGCTGCTACAGCTCAGCGGTTCCACCCTGCCCAGCTCTCCGATCCACCTCTCCTTCCAACCCACGTCTCTCTCAAATCTTGACTGCCTCGTTCACACAGCCCGGAATCCGCACTCGCATCGATGGCCAGCAGCACGGTCCACGGTGCTCGCTGTCTCTGGACCCAGGCAGCACAGCTCTGCCCCTGGCTAATCTGTCTTTCTATCTAATCTCTGCCTGCACACAACTGCACAAATTCCATTTGAAATCTGTATAAATCTGAAGCATAATAAACCTTTCTCAGCAATGCTTCTCTACTGCTCTGAGAAGATTATCTCGCAAATCACTCTTCCCCTGATCACTCCCTCTCTGCCCATTCGCTGCATCTCTTTAAAAGCAAAGGTCCTTCCTGGCCCCACATCCTTCCCTTACTGTTTGCCTCCTCTGCACATTCTCATCTCTCTTGCTGCCCTTACCCACCACTGCTGGCTTGCAGCCCCTGCCCAAATGCCCGTGCCCCTGTGAGAGTCTCTGGTGAGCTTTGTGTTGCCCTCCAGGAGTCAGTCTCTTGCCAGTGTCACCTCCTGGAAGCATCAGATGCCCCAGCCGCCACTATGGTCTTTCTTCCCTGATTGGTGTGTAGCTGGTGGCTTCTTGTGCTTACGATCTGTGCTTTAATCTTGGCAAATTTTTAGGAAGCTCAGGTATAAGACATACAAGTAATTAAAGTCCTCAAGTTTGCTGAATGCTTTATAGAGGGAGTAAAAACACAGGTAAGCTTTTTGTGACCTAAGCACTATTTGAACATTTTTACTTTTGAAAATCATGAAACTCACCCAGAATTGAAATAGACATCCAAGCTGTCACTTGGAGGTAGAAGCTGGCAGCCTAGAGATTTGTGTCCATGGGTGCCTAGAAACCCCTCTGCCCAGGCTGCAGTGCCCTGTGCCAGGCCCTGCTGGGCCTCTGTGGCCCGGGCCCCACCTGTAAAGTGGATACAATCAGCCCTTACTGAAGACAAGGGATGCAGATGTGTGTCCATGCACTTCCGTGTTTAGTCATTGTTAGGTGTAGATCAAGAAATGTCCCTTGGAACTCTCCAGTGGGAAGGTGACCAGATTAGGGGTGCTGAACTCACCGTCAGGTTCATCCCTTGAACAGTACAGGCACTGAATGTGCCGTGAGGGGGCCTTGGTGGGAGGTGGGTCCCTGGGGGTGCGACCTGCACGGTGTGTTCTCGTCCCTGGCCCCTCCCCCTGCTTCCTGGCTGCCATGAGGCGAGCGGCTCTCCTCCTCCAGGCCTTCCGCCATGCTGTCTCTGTCTTGGAGCCAAACTGCATGGATTGATTCTCTGACAACCAAGAGCCAAAATTAACCCCTCCTTTAAGATATGGGTGTGACTTGGTGACAAGAGAGCTGACGGAAACACATAATAAAGGAATTAAGCACTTGGATTGAACCTGCCCAGCACCTCTGTTTTCCACTCACCTGCATTTGGTCTCTCCTGAAAAAATACCAGGGCATGTGGGTTTTCTAAGATTCTCCTGGAGCCTGTGAGTCCTCCTTATGATGGGTGTCCGGCAGAGCAGGACATGAAATTCTATTTGGAAGTGAAGACACAGGACTGGCTTCATAGGTAACGTGTGGCCTTGATTCTTTCCATGGGTCTAGTCGAATTGGATGAGAACCAAGCCAGAGTCAGTGGTTAGGTTCAGTGTTGACTGTGTGGGGAAGTTTGTTTTGGTTTCTTCCAGTTTGGCTTGGGACTAGAATTGTGGAGGGAACTGAGATCCAGAAACAAAAAGAGGGCGTGCAGAGGGGAGGGAGTGTGGGTGCTGGGGGTGGCTCGGCTGCTCACTGGACAGGACGGCTTGGTACTCCTGGGCCTCAGGACACTGAACGGCTGGAGCACCCCCTAACCTCCAGTCACTGTGCCCTCCGCCTGCCATTTCCCTTCCCCCTGGAGTGCTTGAGAATGAATGGGTACCTCGACCACATGCCGCTTTCTGTTGTACAGCACGTGAACCTCCAGTGTTCAATTTGCTAAGAGACCATCCGGGCAGCACGTCCACCCTCAGAGTCCTGCATGTTATGCTACAGCCTTTTTGCTCAGCATTTGGTGCCTGGAGAGCTAACTGGGGGACACGTTGGCTGTGTGACGTGAGGTGTAGATGAATGGGAACCCGAACCTACTGACCAGAAGCAGAGAGCTGGATCCTTTGGAGATAAAGTGCTAGCCACTGTTCAGTGAGGTGATTCCTGCCATCAGGCCATTAGCTCCTTTGTACCAGGAGCAGGAGTAGGACTAGGGAATCGTGCTTTTGAAAGGGTGGTTTCAGGAAGTGAACACTTTCCTTGGCCATTGTCGGAAGGAATGCATTCTAGTACAATGTGACACCCTCGAGGGACAGGGTGATAAGCAGCTGCCAGAAATGATGCTCAGAGCATGGAGGTGCCCAGGATTCTTCTTCTCACTCATCCTCTGCGCTTGAGCACAGACTGGACCTGGTGACCGGCTTCTATAGAATATGAGAAACTACTGTACAAACTATCACTTTTGAGATCCCCCCACCAAAGACCTGAGAGTTCTGCCTTGCTGTGTGTCTGACTGGCTCCCCTGAGCTTGCGTGCTCTCCGAGGTGAGTCCCCATGCTGTAGGACCAAAGGCACATTCAACACAGGCATCGTGGAATGGAGTCTCTCAATCCAGAGAACTGGGAAGGACCTACCAATGATTGTGTAGAGAAGTTGGGGGACAGATCCCTCTGATTCTATCCCCTGGGGTCCTGCAGCACAAATCCTGCTCAGTGATGAGTGGTGGTTGACGGAAATCAGATCCAATAAACACTCATTGTAAGCCTCTGCGCTTTAGGGTAATTGTTTCACAACAATAAATAATTAATACACCCCATCTGCTCTAAATTGGCAGGAAGTGATCATAGATGACACAGTTCACGCTTTACAGTGGTTAAGAATGAAAGACATTCAGATACGTATATTTGAATAAGGAGAGAAGCAGGGCCGAGCACCAAACATCTCTGCCGGAAAAAACAAGACATGGCAGAAAGGTGCAGAAGAGGGAACAACAGCTAGTGGCCTACAGGATACAGTCAGCGCATCAACTCTGCGTCTCCGAGCAAGTTAATTTCTGTGGGATTCGGTTGCTTTCTGGAAAAGCTGGTGATGGAACTGGGGTGGGGCGTACCAACTGCTAACACTCCAGATATCGTGACGGGAGAAACTCAGGCAAGGGCCTCCTCCACACTGCAGGAGCTGGCAACTCCAGCGTTAGGAATTTTCCCCTTGGTTTTCCAGGCCCTGTCCATGGAGGTGCACCCAGAGGAGACAGGCAGAGAGGGACATTCCATCGATCCCCTCGGTGACAGTGCAGAGATGTCGTGTTGGGACAGCAGGTAGTGGGGCAGCGACAAAGATGGTGATGTTATAATCTCGAGGACCCTGTGAACATATACCTGATCACATCCCCTCCTACCCTACCTGCAAGGAAGCTTAGAGAAAACTCAGGCTCAGTTTATCACACACCCTTGGCTAGAAGTCAGCTGAAATCCTAAATGAAAACCACTGAAGAACCATAATAAACATAAACACCTTTGAAGCTTTCTGTTTAACTGTGATAATACAAACAGTACCAATCTAGCTTGGCTATTTTCAAAATTTAAAGTCAATTTGCCTTGACGGTGAGACACAGTGTTTTGCTTTTGTTTTGTACTGGGAATCAAACTCAGGACCTTACACTTGCCAAGCAGGCATTGTGCTGCTGAGTTATATCCCCGGCCCAAGACAAAGGTTTTAATAATGGGCACAACTTTGAAAAAGACAGAAATTGGAAAAATGAAAACACAAACTGCAACAACATTTGTACCGCTTTTATTTGCAAAAATAACCATCTGAATGCATTTCCACAGTATGTCACAGTTCGCACTTCATTGTGTTATGAGAGCATCCAGTAGTTGCAAAGGTATTAAACTGTGCTTCAGAAGAGTCAGGCTGGTTCCAAGCATTCACTGAACTAAAAACAAATTTTCCTCATTTTTTTTTTTACAGTCATGACATTTACCAGAGTCATCCAACTCCGATTTACATAAGAAAACATTACAGACAAAATCCCACCAAATTCATCCAACCATATTTTAGGCTGTTACAAACATGTTATGCAAAAGGTAACACTGGCACCAGATTTGTATCACCGGGCTTTGCAAAGATATATTGCACATGTGAAAGCATAAAGGGTGTAACAGAACTACCAAACGAAGATACTTGCACTGAACCTTTAGCTTGCTGCCTAAGAAACGCATCAAGTTACATGTTATGCGCACACTCCGATTGTCACTGCCCTAAAATGCTCTTCTCCTATAATACTGACCTAGGGTTTACAGCTGTGTGAGAAGGCATTTTAGCTCTGCAATATCAAACATAACTCCTATAGAAAACTTTAGCATTTTCATTTCAAAGCAGAGATGGGGCAAGTAGAAAAACAAGACACTGTACATTCGAAGAAAGGTTGAAACGAAACCTCACTGGTATCATATTGCTCTGATAACACTCAAATGAAAAAATACAAAATGTTTCACAGAACATTTTCAGAATATACAAATATAAAAGGCACTCTAACTTCATGTTACAGGACAAGAGGGATGAGCTCTTCAACCACACAACAGATACGCAAACCAAGTTGCCGGACAGTACACAGACACACCAGTGCAGCAAATCCACTGAATGTTGTCTAACTTCATAACAAAAGAGTAAGTCAAGCAGCTGTGTACTGCCTAAAGTACCAAAACATACGATGGTGCCCTTTTAGTAGTGATAAGAAGAAGTCCCCTGAGCTATTTACTGTAAAATCATAGCAGATTGTAGGCAATTTGGAGACACAAAATGTATTTACCAAAGATAGGCAGACACTGGTGAACAAACAGGTAAGTGAGGCGAACGTGGTCCTGTGACTGGTCAAAAATGAGTCTAAAAATAACACGTTTAGGGAAACGCACTAAGCAACCAACACTCAAAAGCATGCCTTCTTTCTTACCAAGCTGGGTTGCAAACATTATTTGTAAGACATGTAATTGGAGCACATAGAGACGATCGTTTTTAATGTCACTTCTTTTAAAAAGTTTGATCTCTTATGAAACAGAGGGGTGAGAGAGCGGGAAGGCTAGACCTTGGTTTAAGGATCAGTTGTGGTGAGCCTGGTGATTTCTCTTCCTTCCTATAGCAGCAAGACAATGAGGAAAAGCCCACGGGGCAGAGATCGGGATGGCCGCTTCCCTGGCAGAGCCCGGACCCTGCTGCTCTAGGGGGGAAGGCTAACGCCGCTGCCCCATTCACCTCTCATTTCCGCTTTAAATGCCACTAGCACGATCTCCACTCACTGCGAGAAAAAGACACCGCAGTAGGGAGGGCAGGCTTCTTCCACGCTGCAGCTCCCTCATTTTCAGGCTTTTGGTAAAGAAAGAGTCGTTATTGCTCATTAGCCATTTGCCCACTTTTAAAAGATTTCTCTTCCGTAAACAAAAAGAGGAAAAGGAGGAGGGAAACACACACCGAGAATCTAAAAATCATGGTGGTGGCGTTGCATTTTTTGATGAAATGAGTACCAGTTCTCTAAGACTTTGGAACAAGCTCTCACTTGCGAAGGACCCAAGGTGAGTTTAATGAAATCCATTATGTTACGAGAGGAAGATGAAGGCCTTTTAGAGCTAAATGCAAAATGTCATTACAGTGTCTGTATTTGATCCAGATGGGAGAGAACACTATTTTAAAAACTATCTCACGCATTTCTGGGGGGAAGGTGGAACCGATCGTAAAGTGTCCAACAATCCTGCCCTCATGAGCCAGCTCCTTTCCTGCGCTTCCTCAGTGGAAAATGCAGCCGAGCCTGCAATTTTATCGTCTCGTAGGCCCAGCGCCCACACTGGCAGCGTTTCCCTTTGGCTTGCTAGGACCGGGTGAGATTTTCTGTGGTTGTAGGGCAATTCCTGGGTCTTTTCCTGCAGCACCTCTGTGCACAGGATCCGCCACACATGCTGGTCCCGTCTTGCAGGGGAGGTGTGGGCTGTGGTGCCTCCTCAGCTCCAAGCTGGCTACTCATGGGCAGGAGAGCCCGAGAGCAGGCGGGGACCCTTTGCAGGGGAAATGCTGGGCTTGTCCCCAGGGCTTCCAGCTGGCCCGGGGTCCGGGGTGGTTTCTATTTTTTGTTAAATTATTCTAAATAAAATACACAGCAATGAAAACCAAGAACAAACAGCGATGCTTCCTCGTATTTCTTCCATTCAAATAAATATAAACACATTTACATCAAAAGTATATGGACATCTCTAGCAAAAAAAATACTGTGGTCAACACATTATCAGTTACAAATGTTCAACTGTCAGCTGGAAATCTCTGTCATAAGAAATGTAAAATACAACAAAGACTGGTTCTTGGAAAAGATCATTATATTTGAAGTCCATAAAAAAGCTACTTCAGTTCATACTTGCACTTTGAAGGAAAACACTTTAGAGCTTCCGTCTTAGACTGAAGCTTTTGGTCCTTGTGTCCAGCCGGCCGATGAGCCACACACACACACACACACACACACACACACACACACACACACACACACAGACACACACACACAGGTGTGCACGGATGTGTGCGTGCCTATGTGCACAAGTTGTAAGTCTCATTCTTCTTTCTGTACAGCTGTCCCAGATGCGGAGCGGGGTCCGTTTGACCTAGAAGCTTTGGCAGAGGGAGCAGACACAGCACTCACTACGCTGACTCCACCATCCTGCCCCTAGAGCTCGGCTTTCACTTTCTGGATCCCTTCACTTTCTGGGCGTCACCTTGACCAGAAAGCTCTCTTAGCACTTCACTAGTGACCAACAGTGCTGGCGAATCAGATGCGTTTAGAAAATTAGTATTTTGATTTAAGAACAAATCAACAAAGAGTAGTTTTGCATTCAATTTGCATATCATCTCCAAGTTTGGGTGCAGTGTAATTTTCACCTGAAATGTTACTCGGTCAATTGGGGTTTAATCATCACTCGGGTGAAAATTAGTCACAGGCGTGTTAGGGGTGCACTGGTGCTGTATTTGTGTTAAACAACAGGAGCAATTTCAGTATTCCCATTCATCTGGAAACTAACAGAGATGCTCAGGAAGAAGTTCTGGATATTTAAGCGCTCATTACAGACAGGAAAGGACTAGCTGGACTCTTCTGCAAGGGTCACCGCGGCGTTACTTCTGAAGGTGAACGCCTTTACCTTTGGCTTCTAGTGAGGAAGTAAACATCAGAGCAAGAAGAGGTCAGAGGCTTTTCCCGGCCTGGTGCCCCTGCCCTCCTGGCACACGAACGCCACCCGGAGATGCAGCTGAGAGCTCCTTGTGGACACCCGCGAAAGTGCTTTTGGGTGAACCGCTGCCCCTCTCTCGCATCATTCCCAAAGAAAAAGAATGAAATGGATGTTTTATTCCTTACTTAAATGAGAGGTAGACTTTCACAGAAGTACCTTAGAGTGAGGGAAATCATGAGCTGAGACCCACCCCGGCCGTGGACAGCAGCTTCCCCACGTAGGCCCCTCTCTCCGCCTCTCCCGCTTCTGAAAGCATGGCCCCACTGTGATCCTTCAAGATGGCAGAAGCCTAGAAACCAGGCTTCTCCCTTCCTCCCACACGAGCCATCTAAGGTCCAAAGTCAAAAGGTCTCGGAATCAGAGTCGTTCTCGTTGTACCCGTCCTCGGAGCCTACGTTGTTACTGCACAGGCTAACCGTGCTACCCAGGTTGGAGAGGGTGTTCCTGCTCAAACTGTCTTTTTTAAAACAAACGAAGTTGACAGCCGTCATTGCACTGGAAGGAGAAAAAGGCATCATGGTAGCCAGAATGAGGGCCAGGCAGTCAGCCACGTCTTTGTTAGGAGCGCAAGCCAGGGCCGGGGTATGACCTGGGCGTAAATGCAGACAAGGCAGTGGTTAGTCCTGGGTCCAGACAGGTGCGCATTCCAGAACATCTCTGACCTCAGGCGGGATGCGCAGGGAGTCGGGTACATGCTGGGTGCAAGGAGGAGCTACTTCATGCTAGGGCTGAGGCCGAGGGGGCACAGGGAGGGGAGACATGAGGAGTTGCGGTTTTCTTTTGTCATGTGTTTCAGATCACGTGACTACAGCAAGCACAAAATTATCTAGAGTTAGGCAGAGTTTCAGCCTGCATCTAGAGGACAGAAACACGAGGAGATGATGGGACACAATTCCAGGACAATGGGAGCGGCACAATCAGGGAAACATTTCCAACAGGGGTGGGGTGGGGGGCAGACACACACCATGAGCCTGGGCCCTAGTGGAGAGGACCTCATTCTGAGAACAACGGCTTTCTGCTTGGGGTCAGTGCGTCCGGTCATGGAAGGCACCGAATGCTGGGTGGCTGTCCTAGTGACTACCTAGAGTTTACACCCCTGGATACGGGTTTTGAAAAATGGAGTCATTTGAACAAATCAAATCTTTGCTTGTGATTAAAGATGTATGATCATTTATAAGCCCTTCAACAGAATTTTTCTTTTTAAAAACAGCCATTCCACTAACCAAAGTCCCAGATCTGAGCTGTGACCTGAAAGAAGCGCTATGCTTGCTGTTTAACTGGTCAGTGTCCATCACCTGGACGTAATGGGTCCAGTCTGGATGAGGAAACCCCTTAAGCTGGAACTTGGGAAGCAGTCCGGCCCTTGACTAGATCGCTGTCTGATCCACTTTTATGCTGTTGACAACGACTGGTGCACACCCTGGCTCGCTCAGAGGAGCTGCCTTTAGACAGCTTCACTCAGCCTCATCCCTGCCCTGGCCCTTCAGAAGCTTATTCCTCTTCCTGGTATGAAAATGAACAGAGCGGGCCGGGATCTCCCACCGCACTCCACCAAGGTAGTGATGGCAGGAATGGTCTCTCAGCGCTGCTGAATGTCCTACACAGTCCCTCACGCGCCCAGACTGCAAGGCATGGCTAAGCCCACGACAGGAAGCCACATCCTGCTGACCCGGGACTCCTGCTCCTGACATTGCTAGGGCTGGACAAACCTCAGAGGTCCCAGATTTATACCAGAGGAAAGCAGAACCAATTGATTCTGCTCCCTGGTCACTGTGGAGGAAAACCGTGGGCTCCTGCATGCTGACTCGAAGGTGGGGAGCGGGGCTAAGAGGGCAAGGGAAGGCGAGGTGGGGAGACCAAGGAGATGGAGCCACGGGGCTTTCTGCTCTTCCTAGATGAGTCGGGCTGGGGACCGGGCGGGGAACATGCTAGGATACACAGGGCTGCAGAACCGTAACTAAGAGTTAGCTAATGTCAGCAGGGCTGCTTACTTCTGAGAAATAGGCATGAGCTGCTAATTCCAATACCTGTAATAAGCAGTTGAGTCACATTAATACATTATAATGCTTTAGTTAAATGCCACAATTAATGCCACATCAAAATTACTTAATTCGTAAATATCCAGAAGTTCCTCTTTTTCACCAAGGTGAAGAGGTGTCGTGCTTCAAGTGGTATTTTAGTACGACTCGTGTGTGTTAGTTTTCAGATGTCTTAGGAAGCAGAGTGGAAAGTTTCTGACAAGGATTAGGAGGTTTAGAAAGGAATGTTACATAGATGGGGGCGGACTTGAAGTCTAGACGTTCATTAAAAACGTTTTAGTTCTGTTTCTCTGATTTCCATGCTAGGAATATAAGTTCTTTACAAAAAGGTTTGATCTCAGAATGAACTGAAATACAATCAAAGATCTAAGTGTCCTGGAGCATGCACTCAGGACATGCGTGATCCCTAACTCTTTAGCACAGGCTGGGAAGGGGTCATCAGCGTGCTGAGGAGTTGGAGACCTGCACTGACATGACATGCAGAATGGACGGCAGTGGTGGGTGACAGGGGACGGTGTGACCCAGGACAGGACAGACAAGATGTGTTCGCCTCGCCTGGCTTCCTACGCATGGGGCTGGTCCCCACCACTCTTGTTTTTAGCTCCTATCCCCCACTATCCCCTGGCAGCGACCAGCAGGGGAAGGTGCCTGCGGCCACGGCGAAACTTGTCCACTTACCGTTCTCGTCCACGGCGAGCACACAGGCTCCTTTGGCCAGCAGCTCCTCCACCACCAGCTTCAGGCCATTGCGTGCAGCGATGTGCAGGGGTCTGGAAAGAACATGGAACGTCACCAGGGATGCACTGCACATGAGCTGACCCTGCCAGAGGCCCTTGCGTCTAAGGCTTGGTCCCCTGTGTGCCCTTGTTGGGAGGCGGGGGCCTGGGGGTGGCCGGGCCCCAGCCTTTCTCCTGATCCCTGCTCTGCCATAGATGCTCTTCCTGCCACGCTGTGTCACCATGTCCTGAGCCTGAGCCATGGTGCCAGTTGACAAGGACGAGCATCTCTGAAGCAGTGAGAGAAAGCAAAGCCGCCCTCTGCTGAAGCTGATCCCCTCGGGTGTTTGACAGGGCGATGGAAGGCTAACACAGCAAAAAGGTGGCACTGAGGGCATTGGTGTCGCTAAGTGGGTGCTGTACTTAGGAGTCCACAGAGTACGTGGATATGTACTTTTTAAAGAAAATATGTGTCAACCGGATCTTTCCCAGGTGCTAATGAGCCAACTGTTCCTACGCAGCACACTCAGATTTTGCTGAAGGTATTATGGATATTCCACATCTCATCGTGATGGTAAGGAGGAAGCCAGGGAAGCTTCAGATGCTGGTATGTTTTGTGGAAGCTTCTCCCTAGAGTAGCTTGAGTCTATCCTAGTTTAGCTTGAGTATACTCTCGAATCTTGTCATGATTATTAAATGCACTCAGGGGTTTTACTGAGCATGTGATGCCTTATGGAATAATGTCAAACAGCAGACTGGGCTATAAACTGCTTCATAAGCTCAACTGAAAAATTATAATATTCCTTCACCTTTAAAAAAATGCACAAATGATTTCCCAACATGGAAAACGAAGCTAGTTGTAGATCTTTCACATTGAGGGTTACGATGAATTGCATTAAAATACAACTAAGACAAACAGCTTCAGAAACCTTAGATGTATTCTGGGAGCCTGGTTTATAAAAGTGTTGTTTTCCAGTCAGAATACAGAACGCTGATACATAATGTGAATATGTGCTCCGTAAGCCCCTAAGATCTTTCTAACAGCTCACTAAATTTATAATGCTCTCACAGAAATATCAGCGGAGAAAAACAATGAGCTCACAAGGTTTTACAGAGGCGTAGCGGAAGAGGGTCTCTAACTGGACCCTTCACCCTTCTCATTGACAGCCTCTGCAGGTGTGCGGAGGGGAACCCCACAGATGTGAGACCCAGCTGGACCTCCACCACCAAGTCCCAGAGTTAATTCTGCTGGGTAAAGTCTGTGGCTCCGGGCCCAATGGAAACTTTTGTAGTCACACTTACGTTTGCAGTGCATTATTTTTGGCATTAATAAGGCTCTCATCTTGTATCTTGTCAAGTATTAACAAGGCACATTTTTCATGACCCTAATAAAGAAAAGGAATAATATGAGACAGAGACACAGAGAAGTTCCCAGGTAATTATCTCACTATATTTGAAGTTGAAAATAAATCTGTTGTGTCTAAAAACATTCTTTAAGGCTATTTTCTGTGTGGTCTTTTTCCCTAAAAAGCAACGGGCCCCAGACACTCGAAGTGCCTAAATGCTACTGATTAAGACTTGGTTAACGTAAGTCTGTCCTAAAATATTCATACTCACTATAAATATTTCCAAGATCACTTTCAGAATTAATGGTCCAGAGCTAAAGCAGATGGTAGTTGGGCTAGGGTAGTTTGAGAAAAGTCAGGCGCGCCCTTCAGTCCTCTAGCATTACTTCCTAAAACCATCCCCTCGCCTTCAGGTCCCGTTTCAGCGACCTGTGCACCCCCAGAACCCCCAGCATGCCCTCGCCAGGCTCCCTTAGCGCTGCTGACTGCCTCGCAAGTGAGGAGGCCCTGCCTCTGGACGGTTCATTCCACTCCTGCCCTGTGGAGAAGGTAACCCTGCATCCTGTGACAGTGAACGGCTGATAATTCGAAAACGTAATTGTTGAGGGAGCACTGCTTCACAGCTTAGAGCCTGTGCCCTTCCAGGAGCTGTGACTTCCTGAGCCTTTGCTAATCAAGAGCAAAGGAGCCGCGGCACTGCTCGCTCCAGCCTACGCAGGCAGGATCTATGTTTTAGCAAAGGCCCTGCAGGGTTCATCTGAACAATGAAGATGAAGAGCGTTGCATTTGTGTTCTCTAAAATACCATGTCTTAAAGTGAACCTCATGAAACCGAGGGTTGTGTGTGTGTGTGTGTGTGTGTGTGTGTGTGTGTGTGGTTTCCATGGCTTTCCAGAGCATAAAGGAGGAGAACACCACCCATGAAGAACAGCATGGCTGAGACTCAGGAACTGCTGGGTAGGGGAGACACTTGATACTTTAACGATGATGAAAAACCCAGCATCACTGGCATGCACTGGCATGGTCCTGTAATGACTCTGATGAAACCACACACGTCTCCTACACATGTGCATGTACAGTGTCTTTCATGGAGCAGGGACATGTCTCTTTAGTCTCTTTACCACCACCACCATCACCAAGGCCAACCAGGTTCTTCGCATGAGACTAAAAAGCAGAGAGAAAGGGGAAGGGAGGGCCCACATGCAGAAATGCTGACCACTTCAGAGCACTGACCACAACAGACCATTTCGGGCTGTGTCAGCACGAGGCCTGTCTTCTATGGCATGAAAGCAGAACAGGCAAAGCTGCTTAATTCCAGAACCCACACCACTGAGGTCCTAGCCTGGGAATTTACCGCACCACAGCTCCACCACCAGGAGACAGAGACGGGCCGCATCTACACAGAAGGCCTGCGCCAAGAATGCGAGCGGCAGTGCCAGAGGTGCGCGGGGCAGGGTCACCTCACGGACCTGCCCCTTCCTTCTCCTCCCATCCTGGGAGAGTGGACGCCTCCTGGAAGACCCATACTACATGCTTCCAGGACAGAGGGGACGTTGTCACGATGCTAAGTAACGGAGCTTCGGATTTATCTACGTACTTTACTACTAGCCAGATGTAAGGGTGTATTCAAGTTCTTATCCCTCACGGTCAGGTCGGCCTGGGCGCCATTCACCAAAATATCTAAGGAAAAGAAGAGAGAGGCTTGGACTAATTGCTAACCACACGCATTCTGAAGGAGTTATAAAAACAACCACGTTTCAATCAGGACAGCTCACAGAACAGTATTTCGTGATTTTAAAGAAAAAAGGAGCAACTTATTCCATCCAGACCCAAGGCTGGTAGGCACGGAAGTGTCCTGGTGGGTGCACCATTTCCAGCTAAAATGGTCCCATCACCATGCTTGGTTTCTAAATGTCCACACAGTTCACTGCAAGTGGCTTGGCAAGGCCCACCCTGCCCCAGGTTCCCGGACCAGGAAGTGACCAAGGAAACAGGCGGCTGAACTAAGGCCAGCATGCCCTTGTCCACGTGGAGGGACCCAGGGCACCAGCGCCTCCACGTTGCCTGGCTTTGCTTTCAGGCCAGCACGTACCCACGGCTCCCGCCTGCCCATTCTCTGCGGCCACCATCAGCGCCGTCCTCCCCGTGTTGTCCACGGCGTCCACCTGAGCGTTGTGTCGCAAAAGCAGCTGCAGACAATCCACGTGGTCCCCGAACGCCGCTGCGTGGAGGGGGGTCCTGGAGATTTCAAGCCAGCGGGGGTCAGTTTCCTTTCAGCCTGTTCCCCCTTAACCGCCTGAGAGGCGTGTGTGGTGTGCCTAGGGTTTAGAAGCTCTCTGTTTGCAGTAACAATGGCCAACGCCCCTTAAACAGCCGTTCGGGGTAGTCACTGAAGGGCTCCCAGCTGCTCTGGAGTGGGGTGGGGCTTGTGGTGGTCCCAAAATGAAATCAGCACCGCGGCTTTCAGTGACCTTTCTCTCGTCTTTGAGGTGCAGACTTCCAAAACCAAGCCTTAAATCTGTAGGTGATTAAATAAAGCTTTAAAAAAGCCCCAGAACCTAATGTGGATGGGTGACTTTTTTGAGAAGGTGATTTGGCATTATTTATCAAAATTAAAAACTACTGGCCTTTTAATCAAGTAATTCCCCTCCTAGGATGCTATCTCCCAGATACACTTCATAGAGGCAGAGGTAAGAATGCTCACTGGGCCACTCTTTTGAAATAGCAAAGGAGGCAACCTAATATTTCTTCAATGGAAGGCAGACCGGGTAAAACAGAGCATGACCATCCCTGAAACAACGCGTGCTTTGGAGAGCACGCGGCAGTGCTCACGGTGGCAGCATGTTCATTGGGAAGAATGTGGTAAATATCCATGCTCTGTCATGGAAACACTGCCAAGATACACTAACAGGAGAATGCAGCTATAAATGGCCCATGTGCAAAAAAAGAATATATATGCATGTATTTCTAGATGTTTGCAGATACACAGGGAAGTGTTTAGGAGGAAATACCATTTGGAAAGAGCAGAGTACAGTGGCTGTCTCTGTGGATTCTCAGCAAAAAGGCAATTTAAAAAATTGCATGCTCCTTATGACATTTAACTTGAAAAGGTCATGCTCACGCCGTCTATTACTTCTGCAGTGGAAGGGACAGAGGCTTGGCCGCCCCGGCTGCACAGCACAGACCAGGACCCGCAGCATGGCCGCGTCCCCGGAGCCTCACCTGCCTTTGTCGTCCCTGCAGCTGACGATGCTGGAGTCTATGGCGCCCAGCAGCAGCGACGCGCAACTCTCATGATCGTTTATTCTGAAGTGGAAACGGATTTTCAGTGAAACTCTCACGCTGTGCCCTCCATTCGCCTTCCTGAGCTTGTATGCTCCTGCCTACCTCGTCTCCCTTTCCCTTTTCTGGTGAAAAAGATACCGTATATTTAACAGCCTCATGAGCTTCTAGCAAATTGGGTGCTAACATCTGTGGGGTGTGTGTGCACTGCACCCTTCCAGGACCACTGCGTGCAGGTAGGAGCTCACTGCATATGAGTACAGTGCACCACGCAGTGTACTGGGGCCGGAATTGGGAAGGCATGGATTCTTCACGTTTTTATTCATCCATTTTGTGCTTCTGCTATCTTTCCAATCAAGTAGCCGGGCCCTGTGAAGCTCACAGAATGTACGGACAAATTGCCCTTGGGTCTCAGCCCGGGCTGGCAGGAGTGTGACGGAACTTGCTGTCCCCTCTGAACCCTGGCTTCCTGCAGAGGCCACAGCAACAGTTAGGCTGACTGAAAGCAGCTTGCCCGCGCAGGGATGCGGCGTGCAACGCACAGAACATCTTTCTAACCTGCACAGCCCGCTAATGCAGGCCTGGCTTAGTTTCAGAATCCAGCTGACACTGGGGCTGCCCTCACAGGCCCCTGGACACCCCAAGCCTCCTGGCAGCTTCTCCTGGAACCGGACAACAGTGGCACGCAACAGAGAGCTCCTGGGAAATGCGTAACATGAGAGACCACACTTTCCTAGCAGAACTGCTTGTCTTTAGCAGTAAAACGGAATATTTTAGTCTTAGCTGTAACCTGAAAGCTCTCTCCTTCCCTAAAAGGCCATTTTCTTACTCGAGGTTGAAGGAGCGGTGTGGGCCGTCTACTCACATTGCACAGTGAAGAGGCGTGAAGGGGTTTCCCACAAACGTTCGGAAACATTTTTGCTCCAAAAGTACCTCTATACAGTTTTCGTTACCTGCAAAGAACCAACAGAACTTAGGGGTTTTGCCAGAAAGAAACTTTGGTCCACACGGTCTGGTTTTGTTTTTTTTTCACGCAGTGTTGAATTCCAGCTTATGGATCTACCTGAACTGGCTGAATACTCCTTCTCTGTGGGTAAGATTAACAAAATGCCAAAATGTTATTAACTAGGCCCACAGGTGTTCGAAGACATAATGAACAGACCGAACGGTGAAGGCCATATGGTGCGGCGGAGAGAGAAGACCCCTCACTGGCAAGAGGCGTGGGCTCCACGCTGCCTTCATCTCGGGATAGAGAGATGAGTGCAGATGGCCCTAGGAAACACAGCTGTCACCCGTCAAGAGCTTTACTACCCTACAAACCCTCTGGAGGGAGATGGATCCTACTGCAGGTAATGCAACCATAAAGGCTTGACTCTAAAATATTATGTGTTTTAAACAATACTTGGCACATAGTAGGTGCCCAATAAACACTTTTAATACGTAGATGAATTAATGCAAGAAATTATTTTTAATAAAAGGATATTTGGCTTTTGCACCCACTGAATTTGAACTAGGTAATTCAAAGGTCCCAGCTTTGCCAACCTGTGACATGACCTGAGGCAGCCTTCTTGGGACCTCCGAGCTTGTTTCCCATCTGTAATAAGCTGGACATGGCAGCTGCCCTGCCCACATAACAGGACGGCATGAGCTTTACCCTGTCAGGACCTGATATACCTGTGAAGCTCTGTAGTTGCACAAGCAGGAGGTGCTGCTGTTTGGCTTTGGAATATGGATTGGGGTCCTGGTCTCCCTTCCTGGACAAACTCAGAGCTAATTTAATGAAAGTTCCCTTATCACCTGCTGCAGAATTATGGAAATTGGAGAATTTAAAATATTAAAATACAAAGCTTCTTTGGAGAGACAAGTTGCTAGTTTTTCAGAGAACTGAGAATCTTGGAAGGAATGGCGTAGCAGCAGCCTTTAGCAGGCAGGTGACGGGGTCTCCACACCCCGCACACCCCTGAGTATAATCCCTAAAGAACCTGGCTCAGGGCAGCGTCTACACGCCCCATTCGGTAGGTGGGGACCATGTGAGCCCACACCCAGGTTCATGCAGGCGGCACTGGGATCACTGCACTGCGGCTGACATTTCAAATGTGAGTGAAGGGACTCAGAGAAGGACAGGAGGAGCTCTGGGGACCGGGAGACTTCCGCCCCTGTCCCAGGAGGAGGTGGCCCGAGGCAGGTCTCACAGTGTCCTTCCTCCCTGCAGGTTCTCCACGGCCAGTGAGTTCATGGCTTCATGTGACAGGGGCGAGGGAGCCCCGGCTCACTTTAGGATGAAAAAAAAAATCACACTGCTCAGGTGGTGGGGAGGAAGCAAGATCAAGCTGAATAAGCAGACAACTTGATTCCTCTTATTAAGGCAGAATCAGTGAAAAAGAGGAATCAGTGACATTCCAGGCCTTAAATCAAAATGCTTCCTAGAATATCCACAGCCTCTAAATTCAATTTTTAATAGAATTTAAAAAGGAAGAATGAATCACAGAAGCAGAGTGAGACATGTACATGGGGAGACACATGCATAATCCGAGGGGAAGGAGACCTTAAGCAAGATTGGGAGCTGGGGGCCGTAAAGACAGCTCTGACCGACTACACTACATCTAAATTCAAAATGTCGCCACAAACAGAGGCGTCTGCAATGCACAGGACCCGGGCACCCTCCCCACGTGTGAGAGAAGACACACAACTCTGTAGGGAAAACAGCCATGAGGAAGAAAGGTAATTTCTGGAGGAAACCAAATAGCCCAAATCTGTGCTCCTAGACAGGAAAACAGAGGTTATAACGATGAGATACTGTTCTGGTCCTTCAAATTGATAAAAATAAAAAAGGTGGGGTCATTCTGGGCTTGCAAAATTGAGGGAAAGAATTCTCGTCTACGCATGCTTGGTGGGGGAATGATGATAACCTTTTTGCAAAGCAATGTGATATAACTTATTAAAATTAAAAACATACACGAAGGATTCTGGCTGAAGAAAATGTTCTGCTGGGTCACAGGCCCACGCCACATGCAGGGCTGGAAGTTCTGATGTGGAGTTAAGCATTACTGATTGACCACAGGGCAGCAGGAGCTCTCCGGGTGCAGGTATCAGGTGAGGAGGCGGCAGGAAGCCCAGCAACAGACCAGCCAACCCGGCAGCCCCAGGCTGCCGCCTCAGGCAGCGTGGAAGTGGGGGGGGGCAGCTGCTCCCCAGAACTCACCGTTGTAGCAGGCCCAGTGCAGGGGTGTGTAGCCCTGGCTGTCCCGCAGGCAGCAGTCCTCCTCGGCCAGGGCCAGCTGCAGCAGCTCGCTCAGCCATGTGGCGTAGCCCCGGGCGGCGGCATAGTGCAGGGGCGTCCTCCCGCGGAAGTCCCTGCAGAGCACCGACACCTCCTGCTCCAGCAGCATCTGCACACACTCCTCGTGGCCCGTCATGATCTGGGCATGGCGAGAAACACAGGGAGGACTCAGAGGAGACCGACCCGGGGCAGAGCCTGGCCCCCGGGACAGCAGGTGCCCGTGTTGGAGCTGCAGACAGGACCACCGCAGGGAGCCCCACAGTGGGAAGTCCGGGGACACCAGCATTCTGGGAACATCAATGACTCTGCAGACAGCCATGATGGTGCCCTGACACTGCAGGATGTGTGAGTTTTAGGATCAGGAGGGCAGGAGAAATTTCTGTTCGCTGCCGCCCCCAGACACAGGTCACCTTCAATTCCTAGCTTCTAAAGAGCAGAAACAGGGTTCTGCAGGACCCCGTGAAGACACGAGACATCGGCTGCATGAGGCCCCAAAGCTGGGCACGTGCTGGGAGTCATGCCGAGTGGCCCTCACAGTGTGTTTTTGACACAGACCTGGATGGTACAGCCTGGGACATCCAGGCGCTGTGTCCAGCAGGTCACTGTTTCAAGGACAACAGACTCCATGACACAGTGCCAAGGATATGTGTGTGCTTCAAGAGCTCATCAGAAAAGGCAGAGCAAAAATGCCAGGTGACAGAAGAGCCTGCATTCCACTGCAACATAACGGATGCGTGTTGGCCCTGGGCTGTGGCAGGGCTCACAGGATGCACCCAGGAACTTCAGTGATGACCAGGACCTCGAAAGGCTTCTCTTGTTCTCGCCGGTCAGAGTGTTTGTTCCATCCCCAGAGGGCAATGTCATGATTTCTGCTTTTGTCTGTTTAGTTTCTCTGGCATGTTTTAAAAACAGATTGACAGACAAATACAAAGAATTGTCCACAGAATATGTACTTTGGCATCATTCACAACAAAGAACAATTAGAAAGGGCACAGTTACCGCTCTGCGAGGCTGCGGCAGCAGGGTCACAAGTGTGCGCTTTGCCCGGGACCTTAGTGAGATGTAGTCTCAAACTGAAACTACAAAGAACTGGGAGGCAGCTCAGGGCAGACTCTGGGTTCACTCTCCAGGACTGAAAAGGCAGGACAGAAGAGAATCGGGGAGGGGAGGAGAGGGGGAGAAGAGAAGGGCGGGCGTGGGGGAGGAAGGAGGGAACAGTGGCTCAAACCAGGTCACCACTGAGGTGAAGGATGGGACCGGGGATCAGAGGAGCATTCGAAATGACGGTGCAGGGGCTGGGCTACAGCTCAGTGGCAGAAGCGCCTGCCTGGCACAGTGAGGTCGTGAGTTTGATCCCCGGCAAAAAAAAAAAAGAAAGGCAGAATACTGAATACTGTGGAAAAAACACCCTTGATGTATTATGAGTAAACAAAAAAACCAACAAAACACAAAAACAGATTCCAAATAGAACCAGTACGGAAAGAGACTGGAGATAGACACATACCAGTTACCTCCAGGGGGTATGACCCCTGCTGACTGCAACTTTCCTCTTCTGGGCTTTTAAAAATAATGGCTTTGCAGTTGGGGATTTAGCTCAGTGCCATGCCTTGCAAGCGCCTGCCTTGCAAGCACATGGTCAAGAGTTTGATACGGGGGTGGGGGTGGGGGGTGAGTTGCTTTGCAGTTTCTCCAAGATGCCCATCGAGCACCCGCATCCTGCAGTCATAAAGCAGAGCCAGCCCACGGACAGGAGGTGGCTGGCTGAGCGCTTCTTCCCACACCCAGGGTGGCCTTGGGGGGCAGCTCTGCCCTCCGCAAGGGACACCAGTCTGCTGTCCTTCCTGATTCACTGAGGCTGACCAGCTGGATGGTGAAACCACCTTGTTGTTACTGTTGTTATTATTATTGTTGCTAAAAATTCCCAAGGGAAGCAAGGAAGCAGCACGCACCCCTCGGTGTAGAGCCGTGCAGCCCATGATGTCCACGGCATCCGCATTGGCCTCCTTCTCCAGGAGCAGCGAGACCGCATCCACGTGTCCATACGCGACCGCGAGCATCAGCGGGGTTCTGGGGAGAGAGACACAGGCTTCTGGGGAGCTGGAAACTCACTCCTCCTCCTCTTCCACTGCCCTGATTTGCTGTCCGCCCTGGGGCAGGAGCCACCTGCCTGTTCTCAGGTCCAGTGGGACGGGCCCCGGGGGTGGCTGAGGGGGCCCCTCATCCAAGCAGCCCCGCTGACCTGTCCTTGCAGGAACCCCCAGCCTTGACTCCGGTCGTGAGGGCAGGGAGTGTGCACGCTGGACTTGGCCAGAACTGGATCTGAGTGAGAAGCCCGTGCCCTGAGGACAGTGTCACCGCTGGGGGGGGGGAACCCTAGGGGGTGTGGGCGGGCAGGAGGGGCTTTGCACACCTATGCATCTGGGCCGGCCTGATGAGAAGAACGTGGGTAGAGAACTGGCCAAAAGATGGGAAATGGGTTGAAAAAACATGCCCGGGGAAGGCTAAAATCAGGGCTGTTAATTACTGCTGGAGCCTCACTGTCTCGCTGCCTTATTAATTTAAAAAGGCAATAGCAGCTTCGGCAGGGACAATGCTGTGAAGACGGAGAACACAAGGGAATGCGAGAAGAGCCAGGAGCCCTGCCACAGCCAGGAAACAGTGATTTTTTGTTTGGTCCTGCCAGGCAGGCGCTGTGCGGCTGAGCTACGTCCCAGGCCCAAAGGGGATTCTTTCCATCCAGACACACACGGCCACCCCGCAGCGCTTCCTGCACCCACCCTCTAGCTCCACACTGTCCTCAGGTGCGCGCCTGGGCCCTGGCCCCCATCTCACCCCCAGAACTCAGCGGTCACCGAGACATCGGCCCGAGGGCGGCACGAGGACACTTACTGTCCTTTGGCATCTTTCACGTCCACCATTTCCGGGTTGTCTGCGATTTCTAGCAACAGCCGCAAACACAGGGTGTGTCCATTGATAACTGAAAAAGAAAATAGCGGGCACTTTCTTTAGCAGACCGGCGCCGCATGGCCTGTCCTAAAGGACTTCCAGTCAGTGACCTGCTGCTGCTGCTGGCGGCGGACCTGAGTCTGTGGGTCACTGTGCACCGGCCTCCCCCTCTCTTGGTTCCTCCCAGGGTGCTTTGGCCGGCACCCTCTTTCTGCTCCCCTGGGAGGGACTTTTCTGGAAGACAACGTCCTTCTCTATCATTGCAGGGGGCTGTGCGTGCCCCCACCTGCCAGCTCCTCTAAGAGTCACTCAACTCTGTGATCACACGTGCCTCCTTCCTCCAGCCCCTTTCAGAGAGGAGGCAGAGGGTCCAGGGACAGCCTGGGAGGAGACGGGAGAGGGGGTGAAGGAGTCAGAGGCAGGCAGGGAGCAGACCCTGCCTCTGCCTCCTGTCCTGACCTGTCCAGTGCCATCCTTGCTGGGGTAGACACTGCAGCCTTGGTTCTCACTGGCCAGTCAGTGGTGGTTTAAGTAAAACACAGGGCCACAAAGGCACTCACAATACACACGCACCCAGGAGAGGCAGGGGTGCCCCGTGGGGTCCTGGGGTCCTGCAGACCACACTATCCTTACCTTGCAGGACCTCAAGGCTGCCGCAGGCAAAGCTCTCCCACCCTCCTCCCCTCCTGTCCACTCCCTGAGCTGACTCAGGTGCCCCCCGCCAGCCCCTCCTGATCAGCGACCCAGAAAGTAGATAGGAAACGGGGCCCAACTGCAGTGGCCCTGCGGCCCCAGTGGGCATTCAGGATGATGCTTCTTGTGAGGGTTCACAGACGTCCCGGTGTTGACCCCCTGGACCAAAGAAGGCTCCTTCCTCCAGTGGGCCCTGCCAAACTTCCCCACAGGCCGTGCTGTCCACTGGAGAGTGAGGGAGAGCAAAGGCGCCCACAAGTCCAGGTGTGACTGGCTCTCATCTCTGATCAGAGCCGCAGCTGATGCCCTGGTCACAGGCATGTTGAAGTCTAGGGACAGACAGGGCCACGCCAGGCTGTCACAGAGCTCATCACTGCTTGCCGGTCCCCAGAGGATGCTCGTGTCACATCCACCGGGTATTTGGGGACGGCACACATAAAGGTGAGCTCACGTTCACCAAAACCACTCAGATGAAAGACAGAAGCAGTGGCCACAGCACGCAGCCCCTGCTGCCAGCTCATTCCTGACAGCCATCCGCAGACGCAGCCCTCTCGGGAGGAAGTTCTGCAGACGGGAGTCGAAGGTGATCTGCTGCTTTGGTTTTGTAGGTAAGCTGCTCTTTTTGTTTTAAAATTACACTGAGTCTGGTACCATCACTGAAATGCTGAAATGTGCAAGGAGTTGAACGTAAGCGCACAAGGAAATAATTGTGAACGGAGGACAGCAAAATGGTCCAGGCGGTGGGGTCACGGGGGTGGAGAACAGTGTGTTCGGATGCATTCCTCTTTCTGTATCAAGCTGATATTCTTTAAAAGTCTGCAATTACAATCATTCCAAAGCGATTCGCTTTTGACTGAACATAAGAAAGAAATCACGTACGTTCGTGTCCCTCACCTAGCACACAGGGCAGCACATTGATTGCTGCCATCACGTAGCTTTCTGACCTCACCTAACAGCAGCCTAGAAAATTTAGGCTCCCCTTAGAGTAACAGCGTGGCTGAGTTTAGACTCTCATTGGCTTTGCTCCCAGCTGTCTTCCAGCAAGAAGACGTGACGTCTCTAGCTGTGGGCTGCCCGGCCAGCTTCCTGTCAAACTCGGCCTCTCGCTGGCTGAGTGACAGCTGTTCCACGACAGTCCTGAGTGCTTCTGTGCCCACACCTAACCTCCACCCCCTCCTCACAGTCCCTGAGGCTCGAGACAAAGAAATCAGACTCTTGACTGTGCTCAAAACGATGCCGGGAAGCAAATCCTCAGACCACAGGCCGCAGCAGGCATCTTGTGAGGTCCAATGACAGCTATGAATGACAGCCGTCTTTCCGTCTTTCCGTAATGAGCAGCTGGAGGGGGAGCCGCAGGGAGCGAGTCCTCTTGGCCACGAGGAGGCGCCCTGGGACCACGCCTCTACCACTGTGGCAGTGCCTGTTCTTCATGGTTTACCTGCTGGCAACAACAGGAGGGCCGGGCACAGCCAGCAATCACATGGTCACCACACAGAGTGACTTCTGCAGGGACAGCAACAGATCTTAAGATGGGAGAACATGATCTGAACTTTATAGTAATACCCAGAATGCCTAGGGAGCAAGAGGGTTCAGTGTGATGGGAAATGACAATTTATAATTTAGCCAACACGGACCGCGTGGCTGAAGGTTTCTCCCGTGACAATCAGGTCTAGGTAATCAGCAAACGCCAGGTTTTAAAAAATCTTTGTGTTCTATCTCTTCCATGGCTTTTAAGTAAAGGGATACAGATGGAGACACTGCTACAAGACCTGTGATTCCTAGAAAAATTTCCAAGTCACAGGACCACAGTCTTTTGTAAAGTGTGTTCACTCCTTTGCTTCTCAGGGCAACCGTGCTGCACTGGGGTTACGCTGCGGTCGGCGGTCGGCAGGCGGAAGGCAGAGTCGCTGCTGGACAGTTACCTGTCTGCATAAATGCCCTCTTCAAAGGCGACAGCGCGGGAGTTCCTGAGCCCAAAGTGTTCATGCCAGAAACCCTCGGAGGTTACCTTCACACCTGTTTATACACATATGAGCGTCTCTATGTAGTTTTTCACGTGCATGGGAAAAAAAATCTCAGAAAAGAGAAATTACTTAACTTTTTATAGATCCAAGTATTTTTTAAAGCCCTCCATGTTTGCATCTGATGCACCAGGAATCAGAGCCAACTAAGAGCCTGACTCAGGCTGGCGGGATGGTGATCCGCCAGGGTCCCTTGCATGAACCAGACCTGCTATGCTACACTTAGCAGCTACAGGATCTGGCCTGCGGAACCAGTGCTGGATCTATGCGCGCCCTTTGTTTGGAAAGTTTCGCTGGAGTCTTCAGCCAGAGGTCCAGAACTCTCTTTTGAGTGGAGAAAAGGGCTGAGGGTGTTTGGCCAGAGGACACCAGCCTCCACCCAAGGGAGGAAGGCAGGTCAGAGGAATCTGGAAGCAGGTTGTAACTGCAGTGTGAAGAAAATGGGTATTTACAAAACTGGGGTGCCAAGAGATGCTGCCGAGGACGGGCCTACCTGAGGCGTGCAGAGGGGTTCTCTTGGTCACGTTGTCCTTCACGAAGATGGAGGCGCCCTGGTTGACAAGTGCTTCCACGCACTCTGTGTGTCCCTTGAAGGCGGCCAGGTCCAGTGCAGTGCGGCCCTTCTCGTCCCTGATATCCAGGTCCATCAGCGTCTGCAGGAGGACTTCCAAGGCTTGGTGGTGCCCATTGTAGGCCTGCAGAGGAGAAAGCAGTGAACCAGGGCACACGTGTGTGTCTGCACCTCTCAGGCCACAGAGGATATAGCTCCAAAGGGCACAGTGGAAAGATGCCTGCAAGCTGGGCGTGGTGGTGCACACCTGTGATCCCAGCACTCGGGAGGCTGAGGCAGAATTCCTATGAGTTTGAGGCCAGTGGGGGCTACACAGAAAAATCTTGCCTCAACAACAACAACAAAAATAGATACCTGCAGTCACTGCTCACAACAGGCTAATCAGAGAGTTAGAATGAAAACCACCATTTCCAAACCTCACAACTGCACTGGGAATTTCTTCATGTTCTTCAAGTTTTGTCAGGTAATTTGCTACAATGCACTAGGTTCATTCATGTTTCTTTTTCTTTCTTTCTGAGACAGGGTCTCACACTGCAGTGTGGGATGGCCTTGAACTCACTGCAGTCCTCCTGCCTCAGCCTCCCAAGTGCTGGGATTACAGGTGTGCGCCACCCCCAGCAATTCATGTAGTTTTATATTTTTGTTCATCCACTGAACCATTTAACATAGACAAATAGCTACACAAATGATCACATCCCTCGGTCCCTGTCTGTTTAGCACTAACTGCACATCCAACTCCACAGAGGGTTTTCCAGGAGGCTTTTCTGCTAGTGAATCTGGGGAGAATGGTTACTGAAGACATTACCGACTCTGGGTGCAGCAGAGGTGAGTGCCTCCCCTTGCAGCCCAGCACACAACTGGCTTCTAACCATGGGACCTCAAGTGAGCCTCTTAACTGCGCTTAGAGTCTGTGTCCTTGCGGATAAAGTGAGAGCCACAGAGCTGCCTCCGGGCCTCTGGGAGGAGGAGAGGTGCTGCACAGGCTGTGCGGTGTCCTGCATGTACCGGACGCTTTTCCTCCCCCCTCCATCCCTTGCTGATTTGAATGAAACCATGGGCTCAGTGCTGTAACACACACTATGCACCTGCAGGTTAGCACGAGGTCCTGTCTTACTAAAGAAGAAGACAGAAGGCCTAAAAGACAATTTTTATTCAGTCTCTAACCTGCCCTAACACACCATCACATATGCCCAGCACACACAGGTGTGCGTGCATACATACACACGCATACAGAAAAGCATATTGCAAATAAAAGCAGGAGATAAGGTTACTGGAGAAAAATGGGTTACAAAGAGGGTAAAGAAACAGACAGGAAAAGCCTGTCCCCAGGGCTCCAGCCAAGTCCTCTGCGTATTTTTCACTGCAGCTGTGATTCAAGGTTCAATGTATCTGAGAAAAGACTGCACAAAGGATTAATTTCCTTAATATAAAAAGAGCTCTTAGGAACCATCCTGAAACTAGGAAAAGGGTAAAAAAGCCAATGGATACACAGAAAAACTACGTAAATTTTTGAAGTGCTATGTTTCAATCCCAGACTGGCAATAATTAAAAAGTTGGGTCACATCAAATCTTAGTGACAACTGTGAACAAAGCAATCTGACGCTGTCGGTGGGCGTGTAGACTGGTGTGCCATCATGGAGGGGGCTATCGATCAAAAATGCTCAGAAAAGCCCAGCTGCCAGCAGCAGATACAGCACGAGCTCATTTATGCGAAAAGCAAATATGCGTGGATATCACACACACACATTTTATTCTTATACTTGTTTATATTCATAGAAAAGTTCTAGAAGGACACAGAAGAACTTACTAGTGATGCTTTGCCTCGAACTAGGAGACAGACATGGACCTTTTTCATCTTATGCTTTAAAAAATAATTCAAGTAATTTTCCCTTAGTATGTGCTAACAACAACAAGAAAGACTTAATAGAATCATTAGGAACTAGAGTGCTAATACGTTTCTAAAAATTTCTCATGGCTTTTGCTAATGATCAGGGCTCTGCTGCGTATTAAGCATCTGCATTACACATAACCATGTACTACATCAGCCCACATGCTAACAACTTCCCGTTTCTCCCTGCCGTCCAGATCCACATCTCCAGTGGCCCTTGGTTCTTCAGTAAGCGTCCAGCCTGCCTCACATGCCAACTTCTGACTTTGCTGCCCCGACCTGCTCTGACTGCAGCCTTCTCGGTGAAGACGACTTTGCTGTGGTTGCTCAGGCCTCATACCTTGGAGTTGTCTTTGTCTTTCCTCTCTTGAGTCTGAGGCTGTAGCTCTGAAAAAGGGTTCTGGGGCAAGAGTGCAAGTGGGCACTAAAAACTTTCCCCCCTGGGCATGATGGTGCTTGCCTGTTATCCCAGCACTTGGAGGCTGAGGCAGGAGGATCACTGCAAGTTCAAGACCAGCCTGGGCTACAAAGTGAGCTTAGGCCAGCCTGAACTGCATAGTGAGGCCTTGTCTCAAAAAGACAAAAAAATCCCAAAAAATAACAACAAAAAAACTTTCCTCCCAGCATTGCTGTGCCCTGACACTGGATGTCCCCACCCGAATTCATATGGAGGTGTTGTGTGGGCAGTAGTGGAGTCTCCATGCCACTGCTAAGGCCTTGAGGTCACTACTCTTCCTTAAGAGTCTGTCTAGAATCAACCACTTCTCACTGCAAAGCAGCCCCTCCCATCCTTGCTCCCTGGCGGTCATCGCTGGGCCAACGACCCAGTGAAATCTTTCAGAACGTGTACTGGGTCACCCACTCCTTGCGGAAGCTGAGCAGGGCATCTTCCCTTGGCGAGTCTGCCCAGAACTTCCAGACCATTCCGGCCTTCAGGCAGGGTGTGGCTTCCCGAGTCCACCCTTGCAGCTCGTCCTCCTCTGTCTGTCCTCTGCCCCAGCCAGCGAGCTTTCCCGGGACTTCTCCTCTCCAGAGCAGCCCCTGTGGACGGCCTCACTCCCTCTGGAGGGCCACCTAGATGATCTTCCTTGAAAGGGCAGCCAGTTATCTCCACTTTGGCTTCACCTGACCCTATTTCCAGGTATTGATGTGTACAGAGCTGGTGGGAATCTTCTTGATCCCCTCTATTGGCTTTAAGCAATGCAAATGGACCTAGCTGAGGTGCTGATGTGTAGTCTCTGAAGCCAGGAGACAGGTGAGTGATGCCCTCCCCACAGCTCCCAAGAAGCCCGAGTCACCTGGGATTGAGCCTCAAGATAAGAGGCTATGACATCTCAGGGCATAAAAGATATCCACAGAGGTGAAGCATCAACCCTAAACATCAGATACCACCTCAAAGTGCCTTATGCAAGTTAGCCCTTCTGCATATCTTTTGTCTGCATATTGCAGAGGTGACTTCAGGCCTCCCACCTAGCCCAGCTCAAGGCACTGACGGCCCTCCTGCCACCATCCCTGAGCCACTCACCTCTTCATGAATTAATAAAACCTGGGTTTGGCCCTGGATTGGGACCTTTGTTGCGGTTAGCCGTCACCCTAATTGGATTTAGGACTCCCTGGGCTCCCCCACCATCTTGGATATATAACTGTCTCTCTACTTACACCATGGGCTGAACTGGAAGTGGTAGACTGGGATTAACTCGATGGAATTCCAATGACTTTCCCTTGGGATTACAAATGTGCACTTCCCAGACTGCACTGAGCACCAGGCAGGGCTCTCTGTAACCCCCCCCGTGCCACTGCCCCTCCTCGGCCTGCTTTCTCCTGTCCTCACGGCACCTGATTCTATTGCTACATCCCCGAGGATTTGTCTTTGGCCTGGAAGGGGTCCTGCATGGCTGCTGTACCCTAAGAGCCTGCCTGGCACCCTGGAGACATGCGACAACTACTTGGTGAATAAATGAATGAACACAAAGACAACTATCACTTATCCTATTAACAATAGAAATACATTTCTCAGACAGCAACTTTGTTTTTCTAAACTGGAGTCTTGCTGTGTTGCTCTGCTGGCCTTGAACCTGCAACCCTGAGCCCATAATCTATCACCTAAAACTTACAAGGACACAGCTCTGCCAGGGTTACCTGGCCTCATGTGGGGAGCTGGGCTTCAGAGGGGGGCAGCCTGAATGGTGGGCTTTTTAGAGCAAATATGAAAGGCACAGTACGGCCATCGGGTACACGGTTCCTTAACTTTTTGCCATGGGCAATTTCAAACATCTACAAAGAAGAGAAGACAGCTCCATGAGTTCCCGTGTACCCCATCCCAGTTGCAGCCACAGCTGATTTACAGCCAATCTGGAATCTAATCTCACGGGAACAGAAGCATCGACACAGAGGTGTAAATCATCTCCCGTACCGCACTCGCAGCTCGGATCCCATTTGGAAACTAACATTTCTGCCCATTTTTAATTTTTACGCTAGTCAGCGACTTAGTTGATTTAGAAATCACAAGTCCACACAGCAGGGAATGAGCTCCTGTGGACAGAGAGCCTTAGATGCTGTTTGCAAACTCGAAGCGCTCTGATGACAAGGCGAGCAGACAGTTTAATTTCTGCTAATGTGACATAGTAGGAAAGTGGAACGGCAGCTCAGGACACAGGCGCGATGGTTGACATACTTAGATTTAATAAAGGGGAGAGAGCCAGGGGAAGGAGAAGCGTGCAGGAAAGAGCCGGAAGGACGGGGTCAGCACTGGCCGGAAGGACGGTCCTCTCCCGGGTCGCTGGTTAGGGGCTGACTTCGGGACATCCCTGGGGCAGATCCCCGGGCTTCGCCCACCGCAGTCCTCACACAAACGAGAAATCCACCAGGTTTAATTTCCAGGGAGTGCAGCCTGCTAACCGGGGCGGCTTTGGAACCCTAACCCTTGCTTCCTCTACACCAGGCCCTGGATGCGCTCTGACGGCCAGGAAGGAAAGCCAGGGCCTCCCCTTACTCGGGCTCCCAGCTCTTGGTTCTCATCACAGTCGAAGACGTCCCCAGGAGTCCCCATCGCACTCGTGCACTGTTCTAACAAACACCTCTCTAAAAACGTCTCAGTCAGTAACTTAAATGTCCCACTGTGATTCCTCTGCCCCTTTTCAGATAGGACGAGGGCAATGAGGGGACACCGTGAGGATCCCGTGCATTCTCAGTGGTCCGTGTGCAGATCCTGACAGCTGGAGGCTTTCATTTGCATGACCTTGTTTTTTAAATTAATTTTTCATGTGGAGGAAATGCTGACGAAACTCACTGGGCTGATGACTCTGGAGACCAGAATCACTGAGCCAGGAAATAACTCTCTCCAGGCAGGTCGGGCCTCTGGCAGGGCTTGGTTTGGGGTGCCTGGCTCCATGTCTCTGCTGAAATGCTCCTGCCTGAGCCCCAGGTTTCACTGTACTAACTGCCATGGAGGCCCCCGGAAGGGTGACGGGCACACTCGCAGCCATCTTAAAACAACTCTTTTAAAGGTGTTAGCATTGAGGGGGGAAAACTCAAATAATTTTAGACCGAACCCACTGTCACTCCCAAGCTCTTGCCTGGCTGCTTGCTTCTGAGTTTGCATTCTTACGACTTAGCACAAACATGAGGGGGTCGGTTCAAAAGGCTCAAGCCCTATCACGTCATTTGTCACCATCCTGATGGCTTTCTGCTTTGCTCAGAGTAAAATGCAAAGTTCCCAAAGAATACAGGACCCTGGAGGTCCAGTGCTGCTGTCCTCCACCCCTAAAACCCCTCTTGCAGTGTGTCACAGTTCCCCTCCATCCTGCCCTGGCCCAGAGGCCTCTCTGCTGTCCTGTGGACATGCCAAGCAGGCCCAGAGCCCAGCACTCATGTCATCTGCCATGAGGCACAGAGCAGAACATGTGAGCAGAGCTGTTGCGTTTTCTTCCCCACGCTGTCGCCCACTCCCAGGAGAGCACCTGCATGAGTGGACACAGAATGAAAGGTGCTGTGTGTGTAACACCAGCACGAGGCTGGCTGGCTGCACCCCTGTGGCCTGAGTGCTGTTCTAGGTGCTTCGTGTGCATGGACGCAGGCCGTCCCCTCCTGCTGTGGATGGGGAAACCGACACTAGGTGCTTGGTCCGGGTCCCACAACTCACAGGTGAAAGAAACCGGAAAGGGGATTTGGAGGTCCTCGCTAATTCACTCCTCCCGTCTGCAGGTGAGGGAGCCATGTCCAGGTGAGCTGTTAGTGACAGGGGTGGCAGTGGGGGCCCCCCTGTACTGTCCCTTGGGATCTGCCAGCTGCAGAGTCACAAAGCCAAATCTCCCCCAGGCTGTCACCACCCCATCTTTATATGACAAGAGACCCACACAACCCTACAAGGCGCTGGCACACTGTAAGCACTCAACAGATAGGGGGAGAAAATGAGTGAAAGGTGACAGAAATTTTGGAAGCCAAGAAACTTGGCTCCAACCCACCCTACTGTGGAAGGGCAGAGAACTCCGCCCAAGGCAACGTTTACCCAGGCTTCCTGGGGGGGGGGGGTTGGGGACATTCACCTCTGGGGGACGTCCCCAGGCACAGAGGTGGCTGGGCAGGATTCTGAGGAGCAAACTTGACAGCGATTGGCACCAACGGGCAACGGTGGAAAGCCTTCCATGTGCAAGCAGGTCTCCCCAGGGGGGTGTGTTCACTGCACTTGGAGTGTGTGTGTGCACATGTGTGTAGCAGCTGTGCTGGAGGGGTCGCTGGTGTGTGGGGAGTGTGCAAGGAGCCCGATGGTAAGGGAGGCCGGCTGGCAGGACGGGACCCGGGCACCCTGGTCCCTGTGTGAGGCCTGTCTCCTCTGCCCTCTCAGGGACACTCACCAGTGCCCATGCATTCGGCCCCTCTCCTGCCAAACCCTGCCTCCCAGTCCTTCACCGGACCACTCTGACACAGCTGTGTGGTGTGAAATGTAAGCGGGAAGTGTGGGCCAGCCCCTCTGTCTTCCGGGTCCTGCCCAGGTCCTACCCAGCGAGGGTGCAGCCTGGCACCACCTCAGTGCTCGCAGCTAAGCAGCACGCAGGCCGGGTGAGGATGTGGCTGGTGTGGCTCTGGGTGCAGCAGCTACTGGCCACCATCATCAGCAGAGCACACTTGGGGCAGTCCACCTGGGATCTGAGCATCACCACGGAGCTGCCACACCTCCCCTTCATCACAGGGATGTGGAGAGGAAGCCACTCTGGTGGTCAGACAGCTGCTCCTACTGTGCACCCTGATGCCATCCAGGCAAGTGTGGGGGCCCACGACCTCCTCCAGGACCCGGATGTCAATGCTGCTGCCATGCCTCACCTGCGTACTTTCCTCCAGCAGGTCTGTGCTTAAAAATTCCCACACTTGTGTGTTTAAAAATGTCACAGTTGATTATGCGCAGGTTTGACATTTGTGTATCATCTATAACCAAACCTCTTAAAATGACATGTTTTCTGTGAATTTTAAAGATGTTAGAACTTAAACCCACGAGGTACCCATGGCAGAGGCTTTCTGTGCACTTCCCTTCATCTGCCCTCATTATCCAGGGCAGGGAAGCGGGCAGGCAGGCGCTGCACGGCAGGTCAGCAGCCGGGAGGCCGGCTTGGGAGCGGAGGCGTCCGGGCCCAGGCCGTGCTCTTGGCAAGCGCCGCTCTCCTGAGCACCAAGGCTCGTGGTCACTGGCTCCAGGAACAGATTTCACTCTAACGCAGCGACACAGCCGCCCCTCGCTTACCGCTAAGTGCAGTGGGCTCTTGGAAGCACCAGAATCGGACTCTTCACACCCGGTGTTGGTTCTCTCCAAAAGCTGGTGGGCAAAAGAGAGCAGCAGTTAAAAAACAAAGAAAAGAAAGCAACAGTTGCTAAGTCCAACGCTGGAAAAGGAACTGTCTGCTCTGGATACTAATGCTGGCATTAAACAAGAACGCAGGCTGCAAAAACTTAAGAAATGAGGCGGCTTATCAGCAATGTAAGAAATAAAGTATAGCTTTTATCTAAAACAAATATACTGCAAATATTTAAACTTTTAGATCAACTTGCTATTCAACAGATGACTTTCATTCTTGAAACGATGCCCGGATTTATCAATCCAAGGAAAGAACAGTGAAAAATGGTAACTTCCCTGGCACACACACTTCTGGAGTCAGTGTGGGAAGGGGAAGCGAGGCTGCTCTCAGGACGCTCACACCTTAGGAAAGGGGACACAGCGAGGAAAACACGCGACAAGGAGGATATCACACTGATTTGGTTTGGTGAAACAAAATAGGGTGACGTAATATGCAGTGTCGAGGGGATTGCTTTAGGGCATGTGGCTGGGAGGTCCCCCCTGGAGGAGATGTTTACAGTGAAGCCTCCCTAAACTGAAAGCCCCTGTGGCGGCACAGGCCTGGAATCCAGCGCTCGGGAGGCTGAGGCAGGAGAAATGCTGAGTCTGAGATCCGCCTGGGCTACATTGTGAGTTCACGACCAACCTAAACTAAGCAATGAGTCCCTGCCTCAAAACAAACAAACCAACAAGTGCTGAATGAGAAAAAGAAAACTAAGACTGATGAACGCGTCAGAGGGAGAGCACAGTGGAGGAGGATTCAATTAAATATGGCCCAGTGAGCTCAAGGCTCGGAAAGTCAGCATCACCAGGGTGTGGTATTAGCAAGGGCACCAGGAGAGGTCACTCTCAGGGATCCCCATCAGGAGGACAAGCTGTGAAAGCCTCTCCTGGCCATTTATGACCCTGGGAACGAGTTCCTAGTAAAGAGGCAGACGAATGAGGGAGGAGGCAGGTATGGAGACATTAACCCCCTCACAGATGCTTCCAGACACTGAGCGATGCTCTGCAGAGCCCATAATAAGCCAGATGTTTAAAACCCACTTTCCCATACAGGGCTACAACAGAAAGAAGTCATGAAGTTCACAGGGAGGTCCCAGGTGCTGGAGAAGCCATGAGGCCGAGAGGGAGGGCTGGGAAGGCCCCAGGGAGGTGCGCTTCCCACCGGAAGTGGGGTGACCAGCAAGGCCCCACTGAGCCTGGACAGCAGGGTTCAGAGGGAGATGAAAGCCAGTGGACGGATGCTGGGCGGGGGCGGCGGCTGCCGAGACCACAGGGGCAGGGGGCCTGAGACCAGGAGGAGGCCGGGAGAGGCGAGCAAGGGCGCACAGGGTTGGCTGGGCAGGTGGCAGGGCGGGGCCGGTGGCAGACAGGGCCTCGTGGGCAGTCATCGCCAGCAGTCTGAGTTTTCCTGAGCAAGCGGGAAACCCACTGGGCTGTCTGGAGCGGATGACGGATGACCCAACCCCAAGAGTCCAGGGTGGCAGCACAGAGGCCACCCGGGGGCTGGAGTAACGGCCCAGCAAGGAGGCACAGAGGCTCGGAGGGGCAGGAAGCAGTGGGGCAGGGAGAAAGTGCTGGGCTGTGCGTGATTCTGCAGGCAGAATCGGAGAGATCTGCTGCGGACAGGAAGGTCAGAGAAAGGGAGGCGGAGGACGACTCTGGTTTCGTTTAAGAAACCAGAACGATGGAGACTCAGAAACCGAGATGAAGACCTAAGCAGAAGACCCAGGGGGAAGCGGAGCTGGCTTAGGAAGGGCAAGTTTGGGAAGTCTGGAAAGCACCTAAGCAAGCAGGCAGCTACAGGGGATTTCGGCAGGGGTTCAGGGAACTTGGGCCAGGGGCCGGATGAGAGGACAAGGGGGTGAGGTAAGAGTCCTGCGGAACGAATTCATCGCTGAGACCTCAAAACGGAAAAGTGGAGATGACCAGGGACAAAGATAAATACATTCTAGCAGTCTGTATCCCTGTCTCTCTCACGCTGGCCTGAAGTTCTCCTCCACACAGGGATGGGTCCAAAGCCTTGCTGTGTGGTGACCACAGTGACTGCCACCTGCCACTCCAGCCTCCTGATTGGTGGGCTTGGTCTGCCCCAGATGGCAAGGGCTAGACACCAAAAAAAAAAAAAAACACGTTGCCACATTCCCTTGAGCTAGGGTTCCAGATGGGGTTTAAGTCCCTTCAATTCATGGCACTAATGTGGAATTCTGAAGACAGAAACGAGGCAGGAGAATCTACAAGATTTCTGATGGGAAGCAGTGTTGTCCTGCAGCTTCCAGGGCTCAGGCATAGGGAAGCAGGAGGAGGACACGGGACATCCGTTTCCAGGTAGCATAGATCAAGGTGAAGCCCGAGTGGCTCAAAGGGGAACGGAAGCAGCCAGCAGGGGGATGTGTCTGGGCAGCGGTCATCCTGGGGCTGCTTCTGACCCCAGCTCCTTCCCTGGTCATGGAGGGCAGCAGGCTCATTTCTGGAGGACCAGCCCAGAGCCCAGCCTGAGACCTTGCAGCAATCTTGCAAACAACCATTTTAAACAATTACATCTTTTCTTGCTTAAAGTAGACAGGGTGGTTTCCACTCTCTGCAAATGAAGCCAAATGATTCAAAGAGGAATACAGAATTTTATAGAATTTTTTCTTAATGAGAGTGATGAATGGGAAATTACAGTAGTTAAAACACTAAAAAGCAAAACTCCCCCCAGATCTACCCATTTCTCCTTGAAAGTTACCAAACTTTTTAAGTGAAAAATACATTTAAAAGTCATAGTGTGGAGTGATACTCCTTATTTAAAACAAAAACCTGTATTGATACAGTGGCATATACGGGGGAAAACCCCTCTAAAAGTACACACCCTACAATATTTAACACAATAACTAAAGTAGAAATATAGATGAGTTTCATTTTCTTTTTTATATTTACTTATGGTAGAGAGTGTGTATTGCTAATGTTTCTATTTGAAAAAACGCTGTTAACTTTCCATTTTATTTACCACAGATAATTACAGAGATCCTCAGATAGTACAGAAATCCTTTCTGGTCAGTGTATTTGGGACAAAACACTACAACATTAGGATTCACTGGTAGATCAAATAACAATGTAAGAATTAACAGCTCAAAGCATAAAATTTCAAATTACAAATAACATGGTATAAATAATCATACTGGAAGTCTGAGTTATTTTATTAGTTCCTTATTAGTGTCAGAAAAGGATTTGTAACTTAAACTGTAACTTGTTAAAATAATAAAAGGAAATTTAATTTTAACTTGAAAGTAACTAATTTAAAGCCTGTCTCTCCTACATAGTTGAAAACAAAGGAGCCTTCAGGGCTTGCTGTGGGTGGTAAACATCTGTTTTTTGCTGTTTTGCAACATTGTCACCTGCAGGGCAGTGTGTATCAACACCAAATCCTGTCCTAGCACAGTGCTCTCCAGGATTTTGTGTCCAAAGGGACACAGAGTCATTTCCCTATCACAAAAACGATGCACAGGGACAAGAAGATGACATTCTGTTTATAGTCACAGAATTAGACACTTCCCACACGGTTAGCACGGAATGAAATCTCTCCACACGCACAGCTGGATCATTCTTCCACCACTGTGCCCGTGCAGCAAGTGTTTGTTGAGTGTCTTCTACACACCAGACCCTGAGCTGAGCACCAAGATTCAACTGCGTGCTGAGCAGAGGTCACTGCTGACCTGACAGCGCTCAGTCTGGCAGGGGCAGTGTACGGTAGTGGGTAACGAAGGCAGGAGCTGGGATGGAGAAATGCAAGCTCTCTGGGAGCACAAGAAGTGCTGACAGAATCGGGACAGCGATGACTCCCCCTAATGCAGCATCCTGGATGACAGGAGTCAGCGGGGCAGGGCCGGGAGGAGAAGGAAGAGCCGCCGAACGGTGTGTGCTGTGCATTTGAAAGCGTCTCAGGAGCTCCACATAGACGTGAGCAGGACTTCGTGCCCAGGGGCTGGGCACGAAGGTGGGTGTGGATTAAGTCAGGAGCAGAGCAGTCACAGACAGGCTGTCCAGCCCGGGACAGGTTTCAGTGTTCTGAATCACACTCAGATTCTTGGCTTTTATAAAAATTCTTCCCGGCTGCAGGGTGGACAGCGAACCACATGGGTGCCATGAGTGGAAACTGAAGATGTGGAAGCAGGAAAACCCGCTGGGCTCAATTCTGAGGCAGTGAGTCCGGGGGAGCTCCTGGGGCCCCAGTGCAGAAGGAATTTGGGGGGCGGGGCCCGGCTGCACTGATCTCCGCTGACTCATTCAGTAATTGGGTATGAGCACCGTGCTCAGCCCTGAGAAGATGCTTCTCAAATGGCTTCTATCTTCACAATCCCATAGATTAAATGTCATGGGCATAACTCAGTGGTCAAACGCTGGAGGACAGGGAAAGATTACAGCAGGGAGGGCGTCCCGCTGTCCAGCCCTGGTGCCAGAGTGGATAGCGGCACCTTCTTTCTGATGGGAAACACAGCAAAACAGATCAGAGAGGAAGGTTGGAAGAGCTGCTGGGATGTCCAGGAGAGATGGCCAGTGCACAGCAGGGTGCTAGGCCTGAGGCTCGCAGGAGCGATCTGGGTTCAAGTTACGGACGGACGGACGGGGTCATCGGCAGAGGCTGACCCAGAAGCTCCACTTAGAGGTCGCCCAGGGAGGATGCACGGAGAGAAGGGCAAAGGGGCAGCAAGGGAACCCCGATGCTTAAGGGTTTGGAAGGAGAAGAGAATCTGGAAAGGAGACTGAGGAGCGGGTGGACAGGCAGGAGGAAGGGCAGAGGCAAGATGAGGGTGAGGATGACAGTGTCAGTAAGTGACAGTGATGTCGCTGATGACGGCGGCCATGGCAGTCCCCACCACGATCCTAAAGGAAGTGGTGGTGATGAAGGTCACGCTGGATCCTCTCACAGATGACCGCTGAGCCAAGGACTCCACCACCGGCCTGACCTGGACGATCTCAATTGCGCCTCAAATCACCTACTA